AGTCGCTTGCAAATCCCATCACGCCATACAAGGCCCCGCTCCGCTTCCTTCCAAGCAGGAACTGGAGATTGAACAGAGTGATCCTGCAAGCGATTTTAGCGATTCATGTGCTGTGCCTTGGATAGAGTGAACTCTGGTAGCCGCCCACACGCACCCGGCCCGTCTGCAGGATGGAAGACAACACATCCGAGCCTCGTTTATTACCATCACCATAAAGAAAGCAAAAGCCGAGCCGGGAAGGGGATGAATACCAGTTGAGAGGTTATCAATACATCTAGTCGCTGCACCCCCTTCATCCTTAATTCCCAAAGCAGATGATCCCCATCATTATGCGCCGCGCCGTGCCGAACGAATAGAGTAAACGCGAACGCCTGCGAACCTATATAGTAGTACACACATTACATACATACATATATATATACATATACATATGCATACACGATCTTGGCTGCAAGCAAACCAAACAAAGTACCGCAAGAAACCAGGGCAAACGGCAACTCCACACTCTGCTCGCGATCTCTTCGGTCAGACTTTTTCGTGTGTGCGGGTTGGCCTGCTTCGGACTCTGACACCCTGATGCGCCTTGCGCAGTTTGGCGGCGCAATGATCGCCGTCAGTTTTCGGGGCGCACGGGCTTCCAGGCACAAACTGCTCCTCCATCCTCTTTGCGCAGGCCTGCATAGCGCGGCCTGCATGCATGTGTTTGTCCTTGTCTTTTTCTTTTGCGAGTCATGGACCCTTCTTTTCCCTTGCCATTCCACACAAGTTCAGAACCGAGCCAAGAACCGTCAGCGCACCAGCGCCGCGAGGAGCACGTTTACCCCGAAATAGCTGGTTCGTCTTGCGTTAGCTCAAATCTTCATCCAAGCGCACCGCCTCAGGAAACGGTTCGGTCGAGCAAGTAGGGTCTCCACCGGATAATACATGTGGGTTGAATAGAGAGAAAAAAAGACGTTTTTGGAACCCATTTATTTCCGCGCCGAGCGAGGAAGCTTTCACATGGGGCTGCAAATCTCCGTCATGAGAGGTGAGGTGAGGCATCTACCCATGCCGTCTGTTGTGGCCCCCACGCGCTCCTTCCCTTGTCCGCTTGGAGCTTGGGTTCAATGACAGACGTCACGACAATGCATTGGGCTGGAATCCTAACAGAAAGGAAGGAAGGAAACTTACACGGCAGCAGCTACGCTCCAATTACGCAAAGACAGCAATCTCATGAGCTGAGGCGTCTCCCTGACAATCTTCCCCTCCATGCCAACGGCCAGCCCGATAACAATGATCCGTCCGAGCACACTAGGCACTATCGCAAACGCCACGAGGGGTAGTATGAGGAGTAGTGGGAAGGTAATTGCTGGTGGCGCTGACTGAGGGGCCTCTTGCCCGGCTGCCGGCATTGCCGTACTAGTAGCAGCAGCAGTAGCAGTAGTAGCAGGCGTAGACACTGCTGACTTACGGGGACCAATAGTGACCAAGTCCTCATCTTGCTCTAAGAAGCTTGATTCCGTCTCATCGACCGGATCGTGCTCGTCCATCCACTCGCGGTAGTCCTGGATAGCCTGCGCAGGAGCCTGCTCGAGACTTTTCGATACCTTGCTAAAGGATAATAATGCTTTGTCTATAGGTACCCGAGTCAGCGGGAACGACACTTGATCGGTGGCAGCGACGATCGCATGCCACCCATTCTAATCAAGCCACAACTTACTATACTGCTCTAGCTTCTGGTAAATCCTTCCCAAGAGTTCGGTCCTCTTGAAGTGCATCTCACCCCCGAACCGCGCGTCACCCCGCCTGGAAGCAGGATACGCATACCCGTCCTCATCTCTCGGTGTGATCTGGGCAATGCATTCATCTAGGTTCCGTAGTTCTTCTTCTAGTTCACTAGTCTCGTCTTGCAAATGCAACAAAACTCGATGATTCAAATGCTCAAACTTTCTATACATGGGCACGAGACCCTTTTTCCCATTACGGCTATGAGAGCCACTCGACGAACGTGACTCTGTCGATCTGCTGAGCTCGTTGGCTAGCAGTTCGTAGCCCACTACCGTTGGCCTGGTTTGGCTACTGGAAGACGGCGCGTGTTGTTGATATAGCGGCGGTTGTCCGGCGTGTGGGGAAAAGGGCGGGGGCATGTGCTGCATTATATTCATGCCGTCAGGGGGTCGTATCGACAGGGGATGCGCGTGCGCCATTTCTGGGGATTGGTGAGGCGCGTACCCAATGGCTAGTGGAGCTGGGAACGAGGCCATGGGTGCCCATCCAGGTGGTGAGCTGACTGCTGCATTCACTGCCGCGGGAGATGTACCCGAGTAGCCTTGCTGGCTGTACATTGGGATGGGTGGGTAGTTGTAGGCGGGTTGCTCCGCGCCATATTGATAGTCTTGATATGGCTGTGGAGCTTGGAGGATATGGTTTGCTAGTTCGCGCTCTTGCTGTTTAAGACGACTGGCGTGCGGATCGCTTTGACGAGAGGATGTCGACGGAGCTCGACGAGGAATGGTTTTTGTCACATGTTGGTTGGGTACCTGGTTCTTTTGGTTCACTTCTTCCTCGCTTTCTGAACGACTGCCACTCTCGTCGCTGCCTTCTTCTTGGTTGGTTTCAGCTTCTTCTCCAGGGCCATGCACGAAACTACTAGCGTACAACGGCTTTTTAAACTTGCGGAAACCCTGGTTGGGTAGATGTGATGATGTCTTAAAAGACCTTCGTGTTGAGGCTGGTGAGGTCATGGGGGAATCGATGGTGTGTTGTGAGTCTGCTGCTACAGACGACCGTCCATCATCGTGCTGAATGTCGCCTGATGATGACGAGGACGACGACGAGGCAATGGTTGATGGAGGCATGGCTTGAAGATCTGTGGGCGTAGGCGTAAAGTTCTCGCCTGTGTCGTCGCTGGACTGGAGATATTGGAACACTGCTGGTTGAGTAGAACTCATACTGTTCAAGGCAGGACTTTCCATAGTCGTTGACGCAGACGGACTATGGCTTTGATCAGGCTCTAGATACTGGGCGACTTGGTCATAACCGCTGTACGGCCTCTGCAATACTGTCGAGTTGCTGTCACCTGAGACATCTGATTGTTGCGTCACACTCGAGACAAGAGAGGGATCTGACAAATTGGCCATGTTCCCAGCATGCCGCTGCAAAGAGCTTCTCTTATCACGTGTGTGCGAGCGTTTCACGGCGTTGTCGCCAGTATGCCGGCGACGGAGGACCTTCGCATCGGCTGAGGAGCTGACAACGGAGCTTCCTCGACGTCTTGTTCGTGTGCTTACTTTGCTCTTGCTCTCTTTTATCTGGCCGAGCCTGGGCATGTAGCCGATAGTGCTTCCGTCCTCATCCAGCTCTTCCTGTTTGCCTTGTGATGTCGATCCCGTATCGGTATGGTGCGAGTCGCGTCTCAGGAGCTTCTTCAAAGTGTTGCGAGGCGGTTTATTCCGCTGTTCGCTCTCGTCATGGTCGTCTCCACGGGGCGGTGAGGCTGAAGGCGGGGTGCCTTTCGAGCCCGAACTGGTGCGAGATGGACGACGTCTGGTGTAGGGTGCACTAGTAGCAGAACTTTTGCCTATGTCATTGAGGCTTTCGTAGTGGTATTTGGGATCGCCTGGTGTAGGACTTCGCTGGCGTGAGGGTGAATCAGAGCCCTCAAAGGGTGAGGTGTGGTCCGACTATGCATGAGAGTATCTACGTCAGTTCCAAAAGCAATCTGGTAGTTCAGGGTAGAGAGGCAAAGAGCGTGTTTATGTTATCTACCCACCATGCTACGTAGAGTTTACAGGGTACAGATGCTGTCAGCAGAGGCGGTGCTTGCGTCAATGGATTTGATATTGGCGGCGATGGCCTGGCGCGGGGATGGTGATGGTGTGAGGGAAGTGAATATAGACAGTGACGCGATGTGCGATTCCTTGCATGCTGAAGCGATTACAAGCACACGTTGTGCAACGAGAGAGGCTGGAAAGGGCAACGCAAGCAAACGGTGGATGTCGTGGTACGCCTCAAGGCCTGGTGATTGTCACGGCTGGAGTGCGCCATCATCATGGCAATGCAGTATACAGAGGACGAAGAGAACGCATGTTGAACTGAAAGAAGCAACGACGAGGAAATTCAGCCAGTCAGTCACCGCCTTGTGTATGCGGTTAACGTTGGCTGTTGACCGGGAGTGGACCGGAAGTGCCGCGCTGCTACCCAATGACGTTGCGATAAGCCCGTCAAGCGACGATACCCCACAATGTGGGTCCTATCGTCGCTCGCCCTCCCTCCCTCCACGCCTCCACCGTCCGCTGAATCCGTCGATCCGCGTCGCAGTCATGCACTCGAGGCAAACTTCTGTCCAGTGGTGAACCATCTTGTTATTGCTTCGTGGAAGGACCGCGAGGATGCATCCTCCGCCGTTCACTCGCTGCTCAATCACTGCCACGTCAACAAGCTACTGCAACAACGACCAGGATCGTCGAGGTGAGCAATTCCGGTTCACTCCACTCAAAGTCCACTCCACGAGTTTCGCAACTCAGCCGTTCCCCGGGCTGGGGATCCTGGCAGATGGCAGGCTCTAGATTTCAAACCTAAATATCTCCACGCCAAGTTTCGAATACCTAAGGCGAGCAGATTCTCAGACAGGTCAGGCGTGCATGACGTCTTCAGTGTTTCGGTAGCATGCAAATCTTACAACAACGTAGCAGACTTCTCCAGTTGGAATCACTGCAATCTGAGGACTCTGTCTAGTACTTTCAACGAATGTCGCATACGAGGTCGGGGTGGGTGATGGCAACATCAGCCTTGCTTCGCCACATGCGGGCAACGTCTTCAGCCTCGCATGCAAAGTGGGAACTGAACACCATCTCTACCTGTCTGCCTTGATCCCCCACGCTGGGACGATGCAAGTAGCCTTGAGGCGCAGTGTTGCCTAGTCGTCGTTTGCATAAGTTGCTGTGCTGTGGCATGACAGACGATCAAGTCCTCTTGTCCTTGATCATCCTCAATGGTCTCCATTAATATCAATCCATGTCATGTCGCCATTGCCAGCAGACCTTCCTTCAGTACCGGAGAGAGCTCTCACCAAGGACCACATAGGCGAGATTTCGACAAAGACGACTAGATATAAAAACCGCCGATATAGGGGGAAGGCGCACGACTGCTTGCCAAAGCCACAAGAGTCGCCAGAGCCGCAAGAGCCACCTGAGCCGTCTGAGCCGCCTGGGACGTCTGAGCTGTGTGAGCTGCCTAAGCTGCCTGAAGATAGTATTTTCATTCAGGACCGGAACCAGAAGGTAGCTGAAAAGAGGCCTGATGCAAACTGCGTATTCTTACTTTGGGGTTCTGGAAACTCTGGTAACTCCGAAAACTCTGGAAAATTCACGGCCTGGGCTGTGGATGTTCCAATTACCGATGCTGAAAGTGAACATGAGATCTTCGCTTTGTTAGCTAAACAGTATGCTACACGGCTTGGCTTCTTGCGAAGATGTCTTTCTTTCCAAAAGTTCAGTAGGCTCAGGCCCGTTACTGTATGTTCCAACCATTTTGTAGCGTACCTATTCGTACTAAACCGAAGTATAGTTCCGATTCATCAGCCGCTCTTCAAAAAGATTCTTAGCCCTCGCTGAACCTTGGGACCTGGACAAACACCGCAAGATCTTTTCTAAACGACAAGAAGAAGCGATGGAGGTTATTCGACCTATAACAGACTTCGATTCCGATGATCCAGGCCACTGTTATCGCGACAACAGCTCGGGAGAATATGAACATTGCAACTATGCTTGCCCTTTCAACACATCAGAAGATGATGATGATGTCCCAAAGTGTCCGTTCGAGGAATGGGAATTCTGCAACGATCAGCTAAAGTGGATCGAATATGAGCCTTCCCTTTCTTCCTACTTTCGCGATCCAGCTGGTGCCCGTTCTCAAAACATACTCATCGGCTTCTATGGACATCGCTTCATCCACGAATATAGGTAAGGCTTGGGTACGCACGATACAGAACTCGGCTAACGTCAACACCATTAAGAAACATATTTTTGCCTCCTGCTCCACCCCAACCGCAGCAACGTCGACTACAGAATAGAGATATAAAACTCAATGGATTGTACGTTGAAACTAAGCTGGATCGTATCAGATGTGTGTCCGTATTCCTGGGTATTCTCCTTTGTGTGATCGCTGGCGGAAGGCTTGTCTGGGGTACCTGGGAGATAGTGTTTGGCGCTGGAAGCTTCTTCGTCGCTTTGCCGATGTTAGTATTGACACTACTGAGTCATTATGAAATGTGACAATTTACGGTAAGTTTGATAACAAAAGCGTCCATTGCAATGATAAGACTAAGAAATTATGCAAGTAAAGAGTACCCGCGCCCGACCGCGACCCTGTATCGATTGGCGTAAAATGCAAGAAACTAATGACAGTAAGGTACCCCATCCGATACTCACTCGAGCAACGTAAATCTGCCTCTTTCTTCATCTTCCCCTGGTGACCGCATTGCAAACGAATCCGGTAGAACTGACTTGGATGGATAATTCGAATGCGCCTCATTCGCTTTCTTTGGCCCTTCCCATACGTTATACCCGAATTCTATCAGAAAGGGCGCCCTGAAAATGGACATAAGTCAACTTATGGATCTCAGGAAGTTTGCACGTTCGAAACTGACCATGTTGAAAGCGCGAGCATCTGTCCAAATGTCCATTCGTTATCTTTGTTATTGTCTCCGGCGCGAGATCGTATGTCGAGAGTCAGTTTTACGAACCAACCGATGAGATACCACATGGCGCATAAACCCACCCCAATGATTCCCCACCGTATCACAGCAGAGAGCCGTCCGAGTAGTTGAGGTCGATTTCGAGCCATAGAAACCAGGTAGTCGACAACGTACGTAGTAACACCTAGGCACAGACAACCAGCCGCTGTCCAGCAGAAGATTGCCACTCCATTGAATGACTGCCCTTTCAAACATGGATCTTGATAAAATCCTCCGTAATCCTCCCAGTCCGATTCGGACCCTTCGTATATGTAAGAACGTAAACTGAGTGAGGCCAGAACGATAGCCATGACGTCTATAATCAACAACACCAATACTCGTCCTTTGTATCTTTGAAGTATCTCCGATGCCGCAAGGTGTAGTACTAATACTGCGAGGACTGAGTATAGAGGAATCACCAGCAGAAGTATCCTTGTGGAACCTTGGTATGCCTCAGTTTTCGAGATTGAACATACGGAGGCGATCAACAAAGCAAGTGAGAAAATCGCTGATGTTGAAAGAAACTCGCGAGTTGAGTCGAGCACTGCGCATAAGATCCACCTGAGTGGGGGCCACATCCGTGGTTGATTCAGTTGTTGGTTGAGGTTGACTGTAAGGATTCCGCAAAGGTATACTGTGATCAGAATAGCTTGTATGATGTATGTGGCCAGCATCTACACGAATTAGCATATCTTTTTGTTGACGTGAGCATCCCCAGCATTGTACTCACACCGACTCCGGCAATGTCAGGGCTACCCTCCCAGCCAAGAGCTTCGCACAACCGGTTGTCGCATTTCTCCCAGGCAAAATTTCCCACCTGCAAATGGAGATAGCTGCCGTTGACAGACCAGTCCCAGAATTCTTGATTCATAGGTGGTTTTTCCAGTGAACCATTTCTGACAGCTTCGAATCCCTGCATAATCGCTTTATAAACGGTTTCTTGAGAACGATATGCGACCCAATACATGGCCTGCCCTGTCAGGTTATATTGCAAGTAATTCCAAATCTCCATGATGCTGTTGCAGTTGTCGTCCCAGTACTGATAAGGATCGAGCTGTTGGAAGTCGTATTGTGTGGAGTTACTCATGACGGGTAATCGTTAGCCAGTAGGTCAGCTCGTAAGCTTGCGCAAAGGAGAAGATGATGGTATGCGAGTAACGGCCTTGGGGGAATTTCCAGTAGATCTAATCACGATATAAAGACGGGTGTGTTTCTTTCGATCGTGGAATTCATAGGTCTCCGCCGAACTCTTATAACCCTCCCACAGGGCTGAGTCCGTACGCCACCTTCTAACTATAGTAGGCGTGTATCGATACGCACCAGCTGAGCAGCCATCTAGACTCTTTCGTTCGCAGTGAAATACTGGTTCTACGAATCGTCTCATCGATTCGAGTGCTCGTGCGCCTTTATCGTGGTTTGAAACTTCCTATCGTCTACTGAAGATCTGCTTATAAGGACCACGATAAAGCCACTATGTTGCTGAGTGCAGGTGGGGAGAAGGGCAGAGTGGCAGTTTACTGTACGGTGTGTAGATGGAATATTCTGCGTGATTTGGAGGCGGAGGTGCGGCTGACTATAATATTGCTTTTGAAGCAGGCTGTTAGCAGTGGCGTTTTGTGGAACGCTTCCGATTTGCCTTCGCGTTGCATGTCAATTCAGTCTCGAGGTGGTAATATCAAGATAAGACTTACAAGGTAGTGGTATGATCTTCAAAGCTTCTGGGCATTAGAAATGCAAATAGTCACATATTTCTGTAGATCGAGTTCTTCATTGTAGACATTTCGAATGTACAGTGCTGCCACTATGAGTACGTACCTAGGTACTGAACCTGGGAAGCGATCTAGAGCTTTTTTTTCTGTCGTTCGCATAAGGCCATCTTTCAACTGCAAATTATGGACGTCGTCTCATGTTCAGCTGGTAGGGAAGGTGACCACTGTGACGCTTCGGATCGAGGGATTGGTGTTCACCTGACGCTCTTAGCGCCCACCTAGGCGGGCTTGCTGCATCCAACCCAATAATCCTGAATCGTCCTTCCACCTCCATCTTCCGCAAGTGCATGTTGAATGTCAAGATTGACCACGATCACAACTGAGTTTTCTAATCCTATCATTTCTCAAAACACAATATGTTTGAATTGCAGGGCTCGTATATTGCATCTACGAGCGTTGCAAGCATCGCGTCGTGTTCTGCCAAACTCATCTTGTAACAATCTCGAGGTCTGGTAGCGGCCAATATCCGTATTAATAGGCGACCCCAATATGTGACTCTCTAGCCAATCCCCATCGAACAAAGTGGTAAGAAAATGGTCTTTCCACGAGGCTCGCCACACGGTAAATTCAATTTCACACAAACCCAATCCCAACCTTTTCTGCTTCAGTCCTCCAAGACTCTCGTATTCCATCTTCACGATTCCAATCTTACCCATCATCATGGCTACCCATACCGACGCTCCACCTCCCTACACTCCTGGATCACCAGAATTCATTGAGATTACAGCCACGACCATCGAGCAAATGGAATCTGCGAATAGAGCTCTCGAAATCATCGCATACTCTCTTCTAGTCAACCTCGAAATCATCATATACTCTCTTCTAGTCAACCTCAAAATTATCGCATACCCTCTCCTAGTCGACCTTAAAAGTATCGCATACTATCTTGCAGTCGACATACCGAAGCTTGTCAAAGCAATCTCCTTCGAATGGCCAACCTACAACAGTTTTCGTGCCTCGTGCCTCCAGAAGAAAGAATGCGCCCTCCTATTGCACCTCTCACAAACACACACCAAATATTTTCCCAACAAACGTTCACCTCAACAACACGAGCAGACATGTCACAATATGCCTACACGCACGAGAGAGCAGCAACATGAACTAGACATTCTGAACATGAAGAACCAACACGAACTAAACATTCTGGACAAGAAGAGAGAGTTGATAATACTGGTGATGAAGTGGCAGACCATCCACCTACTTGTTATATGCATTAGTGGAATCATCTGCTTCCTAGCTGTGTGCCTCACATAGATTACACGCACCGTCAAATCGCCACGTCAACGCTAGAAGACAACCGTATGCTCCTTATCGAAGCCGTCGAGCCCAGCAGAACACTCAACATCGATCCAGGCTTCACCCTCCACCTCATAGCCGCCTACGCAGACCGGCACACCAAAAACCTGGAGGCAGAAACGCAAGCGCAATCTCCATCGCTGACCTCGTAAAGTACTCGTACGTCTCCGACACTGGCTCGCATACCCGGTTGTACCTCAACGTCATTTCTCAACTTGTTCTGCAATTGTCGCCTAATCATGTGGTAGAGAAGGTACTTGGATTGGCACTGGAAAAGTATGGCGGGGGACTCTGCAGTACTATATCAGATAGCTAACATGAAGTGCTGAAACGCAACCCTCACATCCCAACCGCATTATGTCATATCTTAACGTTTTCCTCTCAACGCAACTCAGAACTCGCAGTGAAGCTTCCCAACAGCCACCTAAAGGTGACTGGAGTCAGCATAAATCCGTTCCTCTAGAGGTGTCTGACATACCATGCATGTCACTTGCAATCATTGCAAGCGTATGGCGTCTCGATGGTCGATACGGTAACCGTGCCGTCACACTTGCCTCTGAGCGTGCCACTGCAAGTAGACTTGGATCCTTCCTTAGTACACCCACAGCCGTTGTATTTTGTATCGGTCCTTGAACACATAGCTTTGTTCGGGTTTTGTAAAGATTGAGAGTGAGGAGTTACTTGTTTGAAAATGCCAATCGCAAACCAGGCTGCTCCGCTGATTTGTACGTATATTCTTTCTTGGCGGTGATTTGTCATGTCGTGAGACATCCTGTCTATGCTGTGTAACCCCAGCTTATCTCTTGCTTGCATAAGAACATCTGACCGGCGAATGCTGTGACAACTACAGCTGACGTGTTCACCTACTTGCCTCAAGCCTCCTCATATGATCCCATGCGTAATCCAAAGCGATACACTCCTGCAGCCTCGCCCCATCATCCATGCCGGCATATTACAATACCATACTCATCCCACAATCCGTCCCCTCAACCCACTCCTCCCCAGAACCTCGCTCTCCTCCAACCCATCAACACTAACCTCACTCTCTTTACTCCCCACCTTCTCAACCTCCATCTTCGCCACCCCTTTCCCCCCTACTCCTACACTACCCCACCCCCAATTCTCCTCCACCCACGTCACAGGCCAAAGTACCACCGTGCCCGCGACACAGAATATCGTCGCCCAGACCTGCCATAACCAGATCAACATCCACGCGCCCGGTGCAACGAAGCGGATCCACTGGTCGACTTGGTACAGGTCGTCTTGCTTGGAGATGTGGTAGAGGGGTTTTGACGAGGTGTTGGACGGCGACGTTGAGTTCTGCGAGGTCACGTCTGCGAGTAGAGAGTGATTTGGTTTGGTTTCGGAAGCGGATGTGGACGAAGAAGCGGCGATGGAAGCATACGAGGGCGGAGAGGCCGACCGACGGAGGTACAAGACGGTGGTAAGTCGCACTGGCGCGTAGTAAAACGGTATCAACCAGATGCGGAAGATTTGGAAGATTGTGACATAGAGTATGAGGTTCTTCTCATCGAACGCTGTTTCCCCTTCTCGTTAGCCATCTTGTCCTGTACACATGCAAATAGCCAAGTAGAGGGGCGTTGAGACGTACCAACACTTTGCACCGTGCAATCGATCCTCGGACTCATAATCTTGTACCATCGATATGTCCGTTCAACCAGCCATCTCGAGTTTGGCCTGCTCCATGTACGGCAAAACGGGTGGGAGAAGGCGGCATCGGGCGTAAAGTATTTCTCGATCGTTGCGCGCTGCAGCGACGGTGGAGATTGCGTGAGGAGGTGAATTACTGCGGGGATTTCCTTGACTGGAATGCGGGAGAGTTGTTAGCAAGGAAGAAAAGTACGCGCCGTCAAGCCGGACTACTACCGGGAAGCACATTGGACAACGCCAGGGTAATGGAGGGTGCGACAAACCTGGGTCTTCCATCTTGGAAGGCGATAACGGGGCTGTGAAGGTGCGGCGCGAGGTTTGTAGAACAGAGAGCTACGCCGGGTGTGGATGTCGCGGATGGAGGTTTGAGACGCGACCTCGGAATGTCGCGCGGAGGTGACGTCATGCAGATCACAGCTTCATAGCTCCACAGCCTCACTCCATGATGTTTGACCCAGGTCCGGGCATTGGGGCAGGTAGCTTGGTAATTACTTTGATTCTTTACTTCTTGATGATCATTATGCTATCTTGCCGCTCTTGCAGCATCGTGGAATCGTGAATCGAACAGCTTCCAAGGTTGCATCTACTGCGACCTGTACTGCTGAATCTCCGCCTCGTCGAGATGCCTTAGCTTGTTTACGCTTGGTGCCTCCCCAGTCGCAATGCCCTTTGCCAACTCAACCAATCCGCCAATCTGTGTTCGCTTGGATACAGCGTATTGTGCGGTGCTGGCCTTGACGCGGATGATGCCTAACGATTGGCGTACAAATCAGTTCATGTTTCACAATTAATCTGCATAGAGTGCTTTCTTACCGATACGGGGGTCCTCGGGTCCACCGTCGTGTTTGCCATCACCAAGGTCGCCGATCCACGCCTTGAGCGCGGGGGAGTAGTGCTTACGCACGACCTCGCGGTCAGTCTCAATAGAGGCATGACCAGAAATGGATGCCCATTCGCCAGAGCTGTTGATGAAGCCAATGTTGACAGACTTGTGTTCCTTGAGGTCATCTGTCTTGCCAGACTCGGTGTTGGTGTGGAAGAGGAGGTCGAAGCCGTGGCCCTCCTGTGTAGCATACATTAGCGCCTCTTCAATGCCTATGATGAGCCATTAGTGGTTGGAAAACATACCTTGGCAGCCAGAGCCATAGCTCTTGAGGCCAGGAGGTCGCTGTCAGCAGCCTGTGTGGTCAACAGGCAGAACTTGGTCTTGTCGACGAAGTTGAGTAGGTCCTCGCACTTCTCCTTGAGGGAGGGCTCCTCAAGGTTCTTCTGCGTGTAGGGATCGGCCGTCTTGGAGCCGGTATCCGCGTTGCTAAAGCCAGACATGTTGAAGTTTGTTGTAGAGAATACGCGTTGAGGTGTGGTGTGCTTGTGTGATAGCTGCGGAGATGGCGTCAGCTTCGGTACGCAGTACAATGTCCGAGAACTCTTTCGCGCTGTTCTTAAGATGCACTGAGAAAGAAATCGTGACTGAAGCATACCTTCTTGTAGGTGATTTGGTGGTAGGCAGGTAATTCGTGTATCAGAGAAGGAGAGGATATGGCGCGACTTTGTATTGATATTGAGTTTGCCCTGATGATGTCATTCGCAGTGGTGCGCGCGTTGGAACCACATTCATCCACCCCACTATGTGGGGTAGCTTCATTTGGTGTCACCCGGCTCTAGTTTTACGGGTGGTCTAGCATGTAGCTCAGGGTCTTGCGTCATGTCATGCTTGTTCAAGCTAGGAATCAAGTTCTAGATGGCTGAGTAGTACATTCACTGTGTTGGACAACAGCCCGGGCGCAACGTTAAAAATAAGATGGTGACATTATCCCTCTAGATCTGCTGCGCGTCTAAAAGAGAAACGTCCTTCATACCCCACTCCGTGACCCCGTCCAATGCCATGCCATGCTGGTATCCCGTGAACAGTAGCGGAGAATATACCGATTCCAAGCTAGAAATGAAGATGTGGGCTAGATCCTAGAGTATGCAAAAGCAAATGTCTCGGATATAACATCCAAGTTCCGAGAGGCTAACACCTCTAGTGACAAATTGTGACATTGCGCGCTCTATGCGTCGGCAGCTGTCTCCTTGTCCTCAATTGACGCCTTCTTGAGGTCGTCAGCAGCTGTCTCCTTGTCCTCAATTGACGCCTTCTTGAGGTCGTCAGCAGCGTCTGCCGCGGCGTCCTTCTCCTGGTCGTGCTCAGCCTCGGCGGAAGCGCTGCCGTTGACAGCTTGGTTCTTCTGCGCAGGCTTGCGGGCAGCATCTGTGCTGCCGTTCGCGGCGTCTTCTTCGGCCTCCTCTGCCTCGAGGCGGTCAATCTCCTTTTGTGCCTTGGCAATGTTCTGTAGATAGTTAGCAGAGTCTTAGCAGCCAGATATATGATGACTTGCCTCCTTGGTCTTGCGGTCCTGGTCCTCTTTCCAGTGCTTGAGCTTAGCCTGGAGCTTCTCGACGGTGGCAGGGACTTCCTCCTGGTTTGAAGGAGGGTCGACACCGACCTTGGCCAACTCCTCGATGATACCGATGTTGAGGTTGAACTTGCCGGGAGCAGCAGCAGCGCCGCCCTTCTTTCCCTTCTTGCCCTTCTTTCCGCCGGTACCGGCGAAGTAGCTTTCCTCCTCAGTGTCCTTCTTCGATATACGGGTTCCCTTGAGGCCCGAGTCATCAACGGTGCGCTGGGCGGAAGCGGCGAACTTGCTAGCGGCGGTGGTCTCCTTGGGTGGAAGCGCGGAGGGGTCGAAGTGGCGGATCAGGCCCTCGCAGGCAATGATCTCGTCGCCGTACGCAGGTGCGCTGGCTTCCTCGAGACGCTTGGCGGCCGTCTCCTTACGCTTGCTGGCGACGTACTGAATCTGCTCCAGACGTCTCTTCTCGTTGCGAATCTTACGGGCCTGGAACTCGTAGTCCTTGAACGCGCGCAGCTGCTGGAAGTAGTTGTCCTTGAGCTCCTTGCGGGCCTGGTACTTCTCCTGCTGCACTGCGCGCGCCTTGTCTGTCTCCTCACGAAGTGACCTCAGGTTCTTGAAGGCCTCGTCCTGCTCAGCCTTCAGGCCATCCAGCTCGGTCTGGAGCTTGGTGTACTTGTCGCTGAGAGCCTTGTTCTCGGGGTCGTCCAGGAGCTTCTTCTGCTCAGCGATCTGGGCCTTGATGTCGTCAATCTTCTTTTGTTGACTGTCGAAGCCGGAGAAGTTCTTCTTGGCCTTGTTAAGTGCGCTGATCTCGGCCAGGGCCTTCTTCTCGTCTACTAGCTTCATCATGCCAGTGTCGACCTGCTTCTGCAGACGGGCAATCTCCTGGTCAACATCCTCGGCCGACTTGTAGTTGGACTTGCCCTTGGCAGTCTTGAGCTCGTTGAGCTGCTGCTTAAGCTGCTCGTCGAGCTTCTTGATCTTCTCGAAGATGGCGTTGCGTCCGGACTTGTTACCCTGCTGAGACTGGCGGATGGCGTTAAGTTCCGTCTTGAGCTCCTGCTGGCGCTTTGCGTTGGGCGAGTCCTTGTTGTTAGGCTTGGCTAGGTCGAGCTTGGCTTTGCAGGCGTTCTGTCCATCGTCAGCAATTTTCCTGTGTGATGTGGTAGTGTGCGATGCAGTCACCCGCCGGCTCATGGCCGTGCGACTGCGCGCATTACACCAAGACATGCACTCACCAGCTTCTCCTGGGCGGCGGTGTGCTCCTTCTCCAACTTGGCGAGCTCCTCCTTGTACTTGTCCTCGTCGGGCTTGTCAGGCTTGACAATCTGCTGCTTTTCCTTGGGGGCAGCAGTGCCGTTGGTGGAAGTGGCCTGGGCGGCGGGTGGTGTTGCGACGTCGGCCATGGTTGCTGTGCAGTCAATTGGGCTGACGAGTTGACTGAGAAATACAGCGGTGGGGGAAGATCTGCGAGACCTAAGTAGACCGCCGAAAAGTGAGGGTGGAGGGCTAAGGGCGGTGGGAGGACAACTATTAAATTCGAGGGTCTCGAGTGAACCACGGGCGACATCCTGGCAACTTTTCCCGAACTTTAGCGGGCGGGCTAGTGCCGCCCGCAGTCTCCATCAATCGACTGGAACATTCACTCGGGCCTCGAACACGCACCCACCAAACCACATGATGGCTGAGCAATCGCGGGGCAAGATCCCCATTCTGCTGCTCAAGACAAAATCAATACCCAAGGATACGTATGAGGAGCTTTTCCTTACCCTCGACGACGGCCGTTATGCACCCGTCTTCGTGCCCGTTTTGGAGCACAGGTTCAAGCGAGACGCCCTGCATGATGTGCGCCAACATGTCACCAACCGCGGCTTCGTGCCAAAGTCGCAGCAGGACCTCGGGACATATGGTGCGCTGATATTCACCTCGCAACGCGCAGTCGAAGCCTTCAGTGAGGTTGTCGAGGAAATCCGCAAGGAGGGGTCCCTCGACATTGACGATCTGCTTCCACAGAGCCTGCCGTTGTATGTAGTAGGTCCAGCTACAGCCCGCGGTCTGCGATCGCTGCATCTCAAGTGTCCGATCTTGGGTGAGGAGACTGGCAATGGCGAGGCCTTGGCTGGCTTCATCTTGAAGCACTACAACGCCCTCCATCCAGATGTCATGAATCCACCTATACTCTTCATGGTGGGCGATAAAAGGAGGGATATAATACCAAAGACTCTCCAGTCAGAAGAGCTGGATCCAAAGCAGAGGGCGAAAGTAGATGAGGTTGTTATATACGAGACTGGGGAGATGCAGTCTTTCATGGACGACTTCTCCACCATCTGGCGGAGAAATGCCGATCAAGGCTCGACACGGCAGTGGGTCGTGGTGTTCTCTCCCAGCGGTTGTCAAGCAATGCTTGAGAGCCTGGGGCTTCTGGATACGGAGACTGGAAAAGCCAAAGCTAGGTGTACGGCTGCTGATCAGAGAGACATCCTGATAGCTACCATCGGCCCGACTACGCGCGATTACCTAAGACAGGAGTTTGGATTCACACCCGATGTGTGCGCAGACAAGCCAAGTCCCGAGGGCATCGCAGAAGGCATTGGAGCCTTTCTCAAGAGACACGAATAAGAAGCAGCAGCCGTGGTTCTCCTAGTGGCTTTGTATAGGTCGACAGGATTACGCACGGCTCTCGATATAGGTAAGAGGGCGTTGTATATAAGGTCCTTATGGTGGGAAGTTTGCTAGATCACGCACGCGGGTGCGCATCGCAATTCCACGCGCTCTCAATTTGTTTCACACTATCGATCGTGGCTTCAGTGTGATGGCTCAAGGTTGCACGTGCCTTCCTGACGCGTCGATGAACTAATTACTGCCATTGACGTCACCATTCACGCGACGCGCCTGCCACACACTTTGAGTGCACGCAAACACCCGCCCTCTGCATCATTACTTCACTCATCTATATCCTTCCCTTTTTACAAAATTTCACCAATCCGTCTCAGTTCATCCCAATTCATCCCAATTCACACCAAACCCTGTTTCAGCGATGATGGCAGGAACACGCTCTTCCGCACGCAAGACCGACAACAACTCCAGTCCTGCAAAAGGCAATGATGTAGCAGCTGGCACCAAGCGCAAGCCAGAAGTTGAGCCGTCACCCAAGCGCGGTCGCAAAGCGTCGAAGAAGCAGGCGACTATCGAGGAGACAATGGACGCAAGCAAGTTGTCAGATAGCGACACGAAAGACGCTTCCGACGACGCCGAGGACACACAGCAAGAAGAGCAATCGGAAGAACAGGCCCAAGCGGCAGCTGCTGAAGACCTTGTCGACGCAAGTGACGCGAAAGCATTGGCCACTGGTGACGAGAAGCCTTCGACGACTGAAGAAAACACTGAAGAGGACACTGAAGCAGCACCCAAGGCCGACGAGATCACAAACGGAGGGACCACACAAGAGGATACCCCAGAGCAAGATGACAGCGCTTCCAAGGAGCCCACCGCAGACGGCGAAGGCGCAATCGAGTCGTCCTCCCAGCGCGCCAAGCAAATGCCATCCAACATCCTCGAAAAGGGTGTCATTTACTTCTTCACCCGTAACCGCGTCGGCATCGAAGAATCAGAAAGCGTTGGTGACCTCCAACGCACCTTCTTCGTCCTACGCCCCATGCCTTCTGGAGCCAAACTAGGTGACGGTGCACTAGCCGACTCTAACAACATACGGCTCTTTGCGCTCCCCAAGAAGGTCTTTCCCAAGTCACACAACGACCGCTTTATGGCGTTTGTCGAGAAGGCGAACACGTCCATCAAGGAACTGAAGGAGACTTTCTTCGGCGCAGACGAGTACGAGACGAAGACGCAGGGAAGTCGGCGCACAGAGCCTGTTGCGCCTGTTGCGGAGGGCGTATATGCGATTACACGCACTGAAGACTGCACATGTCATCTCGTCTATTCTACCACCATACCTTCTGAGCTTGGCGAGGTGCAGGAAGACCTTGGTATCAAAGATCAGGGCAGCTTCATCATGAGCGTCAAGAATCCTGAACGCAGTGGCCCGGCTTCTGCTCAGCTGGACCAGAAACCTGACTTTCCTAAAGAGCAAGTGACTCTTTTATCACTAAACGTTCTTGGCTGACAATAAGCAGGTTTATCGACGAATTCCGTGGATTGGCATGGGTCGAGGTCAAGCCCAAGTACCTGGACTACGAGTACTGCCAGATTCTGCTTATCGGCGAGAAGATGGAGGCGGGTGTTGAGCCGACGACGAAGGACCAGAAGCATGACAAGGAGACCCCGCAAGAGGAGATTGAGAAGTTGGAACATGAGGATGAGCTAAGAGTTGAGCATCTCCATGGTGATGACTCCGTCTATGATGATCTCAAGATTAGCAAGAAGGAATATCCTCAGGTTGCTACTACTTGGTGAGCTCAATCTTGAGCTTAACTTGCGAGACATCAGAAAACGTCTTTTTTTACCTACTGTACGAGGTGTGGGCTGCGGGCGTTCGATGGCGCAGGGTATATGATGGGATGGATTTCTTGGAACTGGGGAGTTGGATGGTGATAGTTAAAAGAACGGATCCAGGATTCGGCTTCGTTCACAGACGTGGTAACATCGAATCGTACTGTGCCTTTGCAAATTGCGTCACACCCGTCGTTGAACCCGCTCACATGCGAAGCTTCTTTTACATTCGAACCTAACATTTCGACATTAAGCAAAAGCTATGTATAGCTCGAACGGTATCTTCATTCTCCACCAAAGCGCGCTTTATATTTGAGGTCGGCGGAAACGTTACAGTAGTGTTCAGCCTTCCACTTATACCTTGGCTCTCCGCCCTCCAACTCCCTCAGACGGTACACTCTCCCATCCTGAAAGGTTTCGGGCGGCACTACTGGTGCAGTATTGAACATCTTCCAACATGTATCCTCGCCCGCCATGATGATAATTCCTGCACAGTGTTTGTCGTCCCTGCTTTGACGGAAGACCGTACTCCACTCTAGCGTGTCTAGAACCGACTGGTAGGAAGGATTATTCAGAACTTCTATTCGCTGTTCTAGCCAATTCATGTCGATAGATTCTAAGATCCTTTGTTGAGAACTATCTCTAGTGGAAGAACAGTTCTCAAGATCGCGGTGGTAACCCCTCATTCTCTCCGCAATGCCACTAAAAGAAGTTGTCCGATCGAGAAGGCGGTCGTCGAAACGAATGTGAAATTGTGTCTGAGTTATTTCCTGGACATCCGAACGCGGATTCAGGATACTCAGCGCCATGTGCACGAAGCGCATGCGAGGAGGACAGTAGATGGTGATGCTAGGGTAACGAAAATGAGGTGGAACCACGATAGCTTACATCATTCGGGAAGCGGTGATTGCGTTTGCGGTCGTGGTCTGAGGAATTTTGTAAACGGGGTAGAAAATCTTGTCTGTCTTTGGCATCCATGCTATCAATGCACTTGTGCTGCATAGCACAAGTACCTGCGTGTCTGTCTTCTCATACGGGGTGTCTGCCCAAGTAAGCATAAAATCCGCGTCATGACTGTGGCAGAGATGCATGTACCGAAAGTTTTCAGTCTAAGACGACTAGAACTATTAGGACTGCTCTGTCTCGTATGAGGTGGCGGGTATTGGGAAACCGCGAGTTGTGATGATTCATACGCAATCCCGTCAATATCTGACAACGTTTGACCATGATCCTGACCTGGAGATATACCTTCTGCGACTTCTCGGTGAGGACAAACCTGCATCCACTTTTGTATATCTTCTCGCCCCTCAGTTGTTAGCCGATTCTGATTGATGAAGTAGGTGCTCGCAGAGCTGGCAGAACTCCTCCAGTCTGTATCGGAACACGTCTGCTCAATAACTGTCAACATCTTGAGATCCGACATTGATTGAGTCTCTTCCCGGATAAGCTGTCCCTTGAGAATTGTTGATCTGGAAGATATCGTGATCTCACCAAGCCCATCCAGCAAATCCTTCAAATCTTGAATCAAGGCAGCAAACTTCTTTGAATCTCGAATGGCCCAACGAGTCTTCTCCACAAGTCCTACTTTTCTAATATGCTCGGAGAATCCCGTATGAAATTGGACCAGTGGTGAGCTCTCAAAAGACAGCGAGCAAACCGCGCTGCCCTGAACTATTGCTTTTGAACTATTTTGCGTTGAGGATGTTTTCTCTAGACCATACTTCGACTTAAGATTCTGCGTTTCATCGAATAGTCTCTGAACGTTTGAGAGTATTCTCTCGACCAGTTTCCGCGTTTCCAGGTCGTCCAGAAGAGGATCTCTGTCCTGATCCGGCCTGAGTATACCCACTGCTTCGCCCCAGACCATCAATCGCCGCTTCTCTATACTGAGTTTCACAACCATAATCTCATAGTCCATGCTAGTCTTCCGGCCTATTTCGATGAGGTCGAAACATTGTATACACAGAGAGAAAAGGCCAGCCAGGGAAACTGCACCAAGAGTAAGGCTCACGGGCTCCATCAGAAACTGAGGCTACGATGAACGTAAAATGTTTTGAGCTAGGTTTGGCTGAAGTCCTCCTGATGAGCACAAGTAGGACTTTAGGCAATGAAGGTGTAGTAGCGAGACAATAAAGAGTTGCGCAACAATAGATAGAAGTTCAGCTGAGAAAAGGCCAGCCTTTATGAAAGCCTTGGCAAGAAGCCTTAGTTAGTAATTGCAAGACGTGACACGATCTATTCTAAATTTAGCAGCTGACACTTAACGCAGCATCGTGCGGGGTAAGATGCATTCATCACGCCACTAGATAAGCTTTGTCTCCTTTAGGGCTCTCTGAAATGAATTAACGTTTTAGAGTAGGGTTTTAATCTCCCCTATTGTGTCGCTTAGCCTCGTTCATAAGCTTAGTAGCATAAAGCAACATACTATCTCCTATTTATTTGACTAGGTGATCGATAAATCTAACTTCACTCCATTTACTGTCCTTCTATCATAGCTCCAACAAATCTATGACTACGACTGACAAGCACCAAAATGTTCAACCACAAGTGTGACACCAACGTTAAACCAGTTTCATGCCATGGATGGCGGAGACGAAAGAACTCGTATAGATCCAATAAATTCTATATCAGGGTAAACCACTCATCGTCCTCGTCTGATCCTCCGTCCCAAAACTCGCCGTTCATGACTTCAGGCACAAAAGCTTGACCAATGAAATTGAAACCTCCTGCACAAGGCCTTACAACACATGGTGACGCCATGCCGTGAAGTACAACCAACAAATCCCCAGCCTTGGCATTGTAATTACTGATGCCCATGCATGATTTCACTGTTGTCCGAAAGATCAACTTCCATATCAATGGCGCCAAACGTTCAATGGCTTGTTGCATCTGTGGTGTAATCCTGATTTGGTTGTTGTCGTTATCAGGATGGATAAAAACCGTGCGCAAGGCTACCATATCCCTTCTGGTGCAACTGATGAGGGCAGAGATAAGTTCGGCAAATTGGTCAGGAAGTGTAGTGCGACCCAAGTGCGCACGTGTGAGAAGACAGACAAGGTCCGAGACAGCTACAAATTGGTGCGCAGAATCCGCGCCGTCGTTGTGGGTCATGCTTCGTTGCAAGGCGACTTCGTACCAGGAGCCAATACATTCAATGAAACTGTCAAATATTTGACCCGAGTTGAAATCTGCGCCTCCGAGTAGTGTAGTGGTAGCATCGGCTTGCCAAGGTTCGCTGACAGCTGTGATGTAATCAATTTTTCTTCCCTTTACTTTGAGTCGTCTTCCATTTGGTATGAGAATCCAGTCGCATTCAGTCGTTCCTGAACACTGTTTGTTCCTGAAAGGCACTGGGTCTATTTTCGGCGGCTTTGACGGACTATAGTCTGTAAAACGCCTTGAGAAGTCCGGAACCCAAGAAGGCAACCCAAATTCTTCGCTTGCTGGACCTATGGCCATGAGTATAACTTCGAGGTCTTTCGACTGCCGGAAACAAGCGATCGTAACCTCGGTATATATTTGAGCGACAGATTTTGTGTAGTCTGGAATTGGCCAATCCAACTCCATCCTTTTAGCATATCCGTACATCGCATGGATCTTATCCTCTGGTTGCGTGACATCCAAGTTCGCTACAATAGTTAAGAGGTACTGATGGGGAAGCTTCGAGTCTTCTCCCTTTTCTTTTAGCCGAAGAAGACGGATACACGCATTATGACCTTCGAGATACGATCTCCAGTGAAGTGCTAGTGAGTCAGATTTCGAATATGGGACACGTGTAAAATCCGTTGCAAAGGCCAGGTTTTCGAAAGCTATCAGACGTTCGCCACAATAAAATACCACTTTCCGTGCTAAAACAACCTCCTGGAAGACCCAAACTCTGCGAAACCAGGGTAAGCGCAATATAGGGTGGAGTTTGCCATATGGGAATTCTTGAGAGATTTCTAATCGACGTTAGCGACTTCACTGTAGCGAGCCACGAGGGACTGCTAGTGTGTTTCTGAGGATAGCTCATGCAACCCGCCGTTCTTCCAATCAGGTCAGATGTGGACAACTTACGAAGGACCTCATCGGCAACCTTCTCGTACTGCCTCCTCATCTTCTCTTCCCCACTCCGATTGCCCTCGCTCCAAATACTGCTAAAGAAGCGGCACCTAGTTTATTCACCGCTTTGGCCGCTACTTCAGTTCTCTCATCTCCTTCACCTAGATGGACATTGACCTGTATCGCTTTGTTGTAAATTTCGTCCATGAAAGCGACCTGAGTGTTTCTTTCTTGGGTCGCCTGTGTATCGCCTTTGGACCGTCATTGATATAACTCATTCATAGGTCATGCATGTACATACGTGCTTGGTTTATACAGATAGAATCCACCCATATCACTCTTTCGAGCTTGCCTTTGAGCATTCGTCGTAGTGCAGCTGCGCACGATCGCGTGATCTTTAACACTCGTCCATCAATTAAGATATAGTCACAGAGCGTAGAGTCTCCCCAAGTATAGGAAAGAGCGAAATACTCCGGCACATTATCAAGAGAGGTTTCTACGAGGGTGCCACTTAGCACCGTATCCTTCCAATCTCCTGAGCCCTGAAACTTGATGCGCTTCAGATGTAGGATTCTGAAATTACGTGGGTGGTTCAGAGGCGTATAGATAAAATTGGCTTGAGAACTATACGGCGTAGAAGATGGATATGAAGAAGGTGGTTGATGAACCGAGTGTTTGGACTGAGAATGACCCATAGCTTACGGGGGAGATAGCGAAAATTTGAACGGGAAAAAGGAACGAATTGTATCAGACATATACCCAGCGATGGACTGCATAAGCTTAAACGGCGACTTGGTTTCGGTCTCGGCAGTTGCACGTGTGGTGACAGTAGAAGAAGTAAGAGTAAGGTAAGGTGGTACGGAATCGAAACGTATGGTAACCCAGAAATGCGGAGGAAATACGTCCTATAAGACAGCCAACGACAAGCAGGGAGCCATGACACCTGCAGGTCATTTGAAGAATCAGCCGTACGCATATTTCAAGTTCTAGAGCGCATGGGCTGAAGAAGCTGAGGTTTCAGCCTGAGGCAGGCTGTTTGGGGTGGTCACTAATCCCCTTTCGGCTTAAAAGCGGGGCTGTGTAGAGAGCAAATCATTCTCTCCCTTGCTAAGCCTCCACACCCCCACATGTGCAGCAACTGTAGCTTGGTCTCGTACCCAGACGTTCTTTCTTCCGCAGCGCCATCACGTGCCTCGTCTTGGCCACGTTGCTACCTAACTACCGGCAGTCATGTTCATGGAATCGTAGACTAAGAGCTCCACATACCGCGAGTTGGTGCGAAACTGGACGCAATCTTATAGCTTCTGTATCAGATAGACGTTCTTCCGTTCAATACAGCGAAGATCAAGATAGGTCTCCGATTGCGTAGTAAAACTCGCCCATCTGTCATCACAGTTCTAGTTGTATGGAGAGCATCCACTCACTACGACACAAAAACTCATGTTATGTAGACACTTGTCATTGATAAGTGCTACTAATACTCTGTACATATATACATATATCAACCAAAGTATGTCGTTGAAAAAAAAACTATAACCTGCTGGAATAAAAGAAAAGGGGTATCAAAATGGCGAAATCATCCATGATATGGAGAATAAAGACCCAATGTGAAAAAGGATCCTTATGATTGACCGCCCGCCCAATCCGAACTCCTTTCATCTCTTATGTGGAACTTTTTCAGCCCAAAACGTGAACGCTCAAATCTTTTACTGTTCTTCTCCTTACACTCCGAGATGAATGACAACTTCACCTTTTACTCTTCCATTCTCCTCGTCTTGGGACTCTTCTTGGGCGGCTGATTATTAAAGCCCTCACTTGTCCTCGCCCTCTTCAAGTTTCCCGGGGGATGATGTTGTCCTTGCCCTTGTCCTCCAGTTCCACCCATGCTGCTTTGACTCGCAGCACTACTACCAGCCATGCTCGGCTTCTTTGCAAGTTGGTTAGCATTGGTGCTAGCCTCGCGGTTTCCGCTGCCACCAACGCCACCAATAGGTGAGTTGAATCCACTTCCACCCCCAGCCGTTGCCGCGCTACTCCCTGCGGGGATCTCCTCGGCAAGACGATCCGCAAGCGCAGCGTCGTACTCCCTCTCGCTCGCCCTTACAGCCGTAGGATCTTGCTTTCTTGCTGTCGCCAACAAGTCCACGGACCCATCGTCGCTCTCTTCGTATTCTGATTCGCTGTCCTCTGATTCATCAGGGTCAATGTTCAAAATCTGCATAGCCGTCGCGGGCCCCCCAGAATCGCTGTCGCTGTCGGGCTCCGAAGACGCATCGGATGCAAAATCGCTGTCTACGTCGCCGGAGGAGCAGGAGTCGAAGGGCAGGAACGATGCGGGTGGGAGCGTGGACGACGGTAGGTTTTTTCGGGATGCGGAAAGAATCCTCTCTTCAATTACCCTGTGCGGACTCGATCGCGGAGATTCGACTTCGGGGGATTTAGAGTGGAGGCGGGAGTTGAGTGCATCCTGGATAGCCTTGGGGTACAAGTGTGACATCCTCCGTGCAGCGCCATGCGATGGCGCGGTAGGAACCTGTGATCTTCTCACATGAATAGAGAAGTTGTCTTCTGGCTGCACACCGCCTAGACCAGAGGCCTCGAAATCCATGAGTTCAGGGGAAGTGTTCCCACTGTCGTCCCTCAAAGCCTCAGGCGAAAAGCCTAGGTCGTCGACACTTTGAATGGTGCGTGAACCAGCCATGGAGTCAACGTCCATGGGCGTAGTGTCCAGAGGGCCTCGGGGCTCGGATAGATCCATGGGTGTCGTGGCCTGTGGGGATGTGGTCTGTTTGGCGCCAAGAGGCTGGGTTGTGATGGGTTGGTAATTACCAGGCATAGTGAGGAAAGCACCGTTACGGTCTCCGCTCAGATCCGTGCAAAACTTGGCCTTGGTGTAGAAGATCATAGGACCGTCGTCACGTCTCCTCGGCCTCGAACTAGAGCTCTGCATAATCGAACTACTAAAGCCCGAAGAGTTTCCGGCAGGATGTGGCTGAGAAGAATAATTGGCTGAAGATTCCGCGTCGAAGGCGTAGTAGTCGTCCTCGTTCTCCGAGTCGTCCTTGTGGAAGAAGAGAGGTTTGTAGGCAAACTTGTTCTGCTCCTTCTCGCGCCGCATCCGAGCCTGTCGTTTTGCTTTCTCGAATTCGTCAAGCTTATCGCTGCTGGTGCCGCTGGTGCCCGTCTTCATGCGCTTGAACGGCGAAAGGGAGCCTGTCTCGTTTGGTGAGGCACCGCTCCAATGCTCCGACGAGCTGCCGCCGCTGTGCTTGGTGACGTCAAGACCGCCCGTCCATCGAATCTTGCGTCCATCACGAGACATTTCGAGATGACTACTGTATTCGTGCAGGGCATCCTTGACAAATTCGGGGGTGACGTTGAGAGTGTGCAGTTGTGCCATGTTGATGAGCAGGTTAAGGTATATCCACCCATGGCCAAGAGGTGCTTCTCCAGACTCCATGTCTGGTGGGGAGAATCCAAGATGGCGGATGTAGTTCATGTTCTCGGCAGGCACCTGAGCACGGTAAGGATCCAAGTCGAGCGGCCGCGTAGGTCGTTGATTGGGGGATGAGCCTGAGCCGGCAAAGTCGTGTTCCTCAATGTGTAGACTGGGGCGGAATCCCTGGATAACTTGTTCCTGGGGCGTATCGTTCTCTTCGGTAGCAGCAACGGCACTGCGATCATTCCTGATGCGTGCCTCGCGCTGACCCTCGGGCTTGGAGTTTTGTCCGGTTGCTTCGAGCTGCTCACGGTCCGCGGTAGCTGCCGACTGAGCTACCTCCTGCTGCTGCATCTGCTGGGGGTGAGAGCCGGCTGCCGATCGCTTGCCAGCGAAGATTTGCTCCAAACGACGTACGACCATCTTCTTCTTGGACTTGTCCGTCATTGGGACGCTCCTGGTGTTTGGCAACAGGCCCATGGGAATGTCATGAAGGTACGACTGGATCGTTTGTTGTTGGCGGCTGTATGCGGACTTGGTCATCTTGCGACGGTCGTTGTCTTGGTTGGTTGCCGACGAGTTCTGGCCAGAGGTGGAGAGGGAGGCATAGCCCGACTCGGCGAAGCGCGAGGTCGAAGACGCCGTGTTGTGTGTCTGGAGGACTGGGGTGTATCCGGAGATGTCGGCGTACTCATTGCCAGTGCCTTCGTCGAGCTCGGAAGCGAACTTGCGCAGAGTCTCCTCGAGCTCCTTCTTCTTGTGGTCTGGCAGCCCGTGGAACCTAACCTCGAACAGCTTCTCTTCTTGCAGGTGGGCGTCGTAGAGCTTCTCGTACTTGCGCAGCTTCTGCTTGAGTTTCTTGTTCGCAACCGTCAGGTCGTCGATTACGCTTCGAAAGTCTTCAGTGCTGCTGCCGTCGGTGCCCATCTGGCCCAGGCCGGGGCGGTATGGGATAGCAGGGTGTGCGTGGGCATACTGCAAGTTCTCGGGCGGTGTCTCTGACGAGGACGAGTTTTGGAGGAAGAAAGGCGGCTCATCTGCGGAGGCATGGGTTAGGCACAGCTCGACAGCGAGGTGCGTGGATCAAGACTCACTGTCGACAAACGAAGACTTGCCGTGGCTGGCCGTGTTGTTCGTCTTCTCAAACCACTGGCCGGCGTCGCTGCTCTCGCCAGAACTGGCCTTGTTGGAGAGCAGCTGTGGCGAGACGCTCGATGGCGGATTGGCCTTGTCGCTGGCCAGGTTGGGCGAGCTCTGTGTTGTAGTCGAGGCTTTGACTTTCCGCTTCGACGAGGCCGGCGGGCTGTGGCGGAGTGAGACGGACTGGTGGGCTGGTGGGCGGCGTGGATGGGACTGCATAGCGGCAGGAATGGTTCCAGGACGCTCGTTCATCATGGCTGGGTCAGACGGGTAGGATGCTCTCCATGTGTGCTAGATGGTGAGAGCAAGCGCTGCGGGTGTACTGGGCAGGGTTGAGTAGCGGTGTTGGGTGAAGAGACAGATGTCGACTCTCTTGTCGGGTGAGGTCCAGGCCATGATGAGCATATGCATCTTGATGTGGACGCCCGTTTCGATGCTCTCGATTTCCACGATGCCAAGAAACGGCCTGGGGATCGAGGGTACCTGGGAGAGAGGCAGCATGTGGCGCTCCCGGGGCTAGAAGCAAGCGACTACCGCCCGCGCAATCGCCGATGCATCCACTCTCCTAACCCAGAAGCTGTCAACTGAGACCCTTACATCGCTGATTCATCTCCCAATCGCTGATGGCCATGGCCTGATGCTGACACCTGTATACATGGCCTGGTCAAGCATCTCGACGCCTCTGCCTCATGGCCTCATGCAATCGCTGCACGTCCATACGACGGGTACCAGACCCGCATCTGGCACTCCTCACACAACAATACAAGAGACCCCAAGTCCCGTTCGTGGCAAATCAACAAAACCACCACGCGAGCCCTTGACACCTTGACATCTTGACACCTTGACCCTCCGCACTGAACCTCAACAGCCACACACACCTCCATCGAGATCGCACAAACTAGCTCGGCCTGTTCTGACGCGCCCTGCCTCGTGTCCCCTCTAAAAATGAGGTCACTTTTGCAACGCCTGGAAAGCGCACATCGGTTCCCTGGACCCTGATCTGACCTTTGTTGTTCGGCTTCTGAGCCTCGCTTGTTTGATTGGTGTCTCTGCCGGTGCACTTGAATCGAATGCGCCGTGCTCAATCGCTGTCGGCATCGCCCATCGACGGGCTTATCAGACATCAAGGGTCCAGCTGCACCACTCGCCAATCCCTCTACGCATACGTTGCAAAAGCGTCTCGTCACGCCTAGGTACATCTAGATCCCCAGCCGTTTGCGGTGTTGGCCGAGGTACTGACCATGACTGCTGCCCGTATCCCAGAGTGCGCCGCGAATTTTTTGCTCTCACAGGTGGGGTGATGCCACTTTCTATCCAAGATCACCGATTGAGCTCGGATCGCAGATTACTTGTTACAGTGACCCCAACCCAGGGCCGCTCCGGAAACACCTTCCGATCAAATCACCGAATTGAAACCCAAATATCGTTTCGTAAGTCATCAGGTGTACCACAGCATCACCGACACTAGTTACAGACTTAGCGTTCCCATAGCAAGACGATTTTGGAGGATATAGCAAAGTTGGAGGGCATGTTCGTACACCAAATGCAACATCTGACATCTCATCGAGATCGATTGTGCCATGACGTCGTCGCTAGTGTAGCGAGGGGAAAAAAAGTAGAAACACATAATATAGAAAGTAGGCTCGGTCAAGCGCGCCGAGCAAACGGGTCAAACACCCGTCGATTGCATCTGCAAAATCAGATGCGCGTGCCCTTACTCCTCAGTACGTTGACGGCAGAATGACCCGTGTAATTGAGCCATTCGCCCAGTCCACCCATGAACCCACCAACCTTGATGAGATCTTGTAATCTATTGTCTAGAAACTGTTCCGTCTCGGCAAAGTTGGCCGACTTGTCCTGCGTCATGTATATCTCAGTCGAAGAGTAGATGGCAGAGAGAGTCGCGCGCTTGGTGTACCAGCTGCTATCCACGCTCTGGTCGCCAGATAGGAACCAGATCTCGTCCGCGAGTCTTGCAAGTTCGGCCAAGGATGCCGGGACGTATGTGGGTTGGGCCATAATTGCAAGTGCCTATCAAGTATCAGCCGGCTGACCTTGATTCTCTTCTACTCATCCTCCTACCTCCTGCCATCGATGTATGACGGGTTCATTCGCTCGCAGTCGCGCCAACGTCAAGGTCCTGACTTTGGCGCCGACGCCCATCTTCTTTCCTTGCTCTCCTTGTTCTGGGAACTGAACATTGTTTTGTAGAGCCAGCCGCTGAGTGACGAGATGGTAATTGATCAGATCGAAAACACCTCTGGGAAGCAAATTGGTAGAAACATCGAGATATCCCGCATCTCTTGCACCGAGCTTGAGCGCATCTATAGTAAACCCATGATTTGGTACGTGCGCGTATGCGGAAGAAAGTATCGCAGATTCGGCGGGAGGAAACGGCGGCGGTTGAGCGTAGTCATACGAATGGTATGGGCACCGCTGTGCTGAGGCGGCTGCTGGACGAACACATGTTGTTCGAAATGAGGCGGCTCGGAAAGTCCCGAGCAGCCCGTTGGCTAGTCGTGCGGGTGGCATGTTTGAGGTGCAATTGAAGTTGTTCGGATCATCCGATGCGGACGAGTGCTCTCTTCTCCGCAAATCTGCCAAGACTGAAATCGATCAGATCTCCACGCTAACCTCTCTGACGTCGGTAGTCGATTGATTACAACGTCGAGTTTCAACATCGATCTGCATCTGGACGTGTGTAGGGATAGACCTCGACGGCAAAGATATTGCTCCACGTGGAAACTAGTTACTGTTCCTGAATCTAGAAGATTAGCGAGCTGTGTGACTACTTACAAGGCAACTTCTCGATTTACACGTCATCACGTGACATACGCGTCGAGCGCGTCTGCCCGCGTACGCTAGTGGCAACACCTAGAAATCCCATCTAGCATCTGCCTGACGGTCCACAAATCCCCTGACATTGCGTACAGACTTCACCATCCGATCTCCAGGAACCCATCGGTTACCCCGCAAATCTTGGAGGCGACATCCAGCGACCGAAAACGCGATTCCCGCAACCCCACGAATCGCACGCGCATCGCGCCTTACGCGTTCCACCGCACTTCTCGGTCGATCGTTTCGCCACAGGCTGGAAAGCAGCCCTTTGCCCTTATCCAAACAAGAATTGTATACGATTTACAATGGCGCGCGGAAAGAATGTCGAAATCAGTGAGTATGAGCGGAAACGGCAGGAGAATATCGCAAAGACGCAGGCGCTGCTGCGCAACCTGGAGATGGAGGCAGCAGAAGCCGGCCTAGGTCCTGCCAGCAAAGCCAAAACCTCTGTACCTTCGAGACCAAAAGTGAAGAAACCCGCGCCGAAGAAGATCAAGCAAGAAGAAGTTGCGCCCCGTAGAACATCTTCCCGATTAAAAGGCATAGTGGCAGACAGTGAGGTCGCAAAACGGAAAGCAGAGGATGAATACGTCGCATTGCAAGCTGCAGATCGTGCAAAGCGACAACGCGTTAGTGATGCGTTCAATTTCAGCGACATAGTCGTCGCAGGCAAGGACTGGGATAAGAGTGGAAACTTCCTCTCAGTCGGCCCTGCGGATCCATATGCGCGGACATTCGACTACAATGACGTGAAGGAGACTACGGACAAGGAGCTGCGTGCCCTCAGAGAACGCATGAGTGGTCTGACATTATGGGAAGACTTTGAGCCGAATGAGATAAAGATTACACCGGAGCGTATATACTCTATGGGTCTCCACCCTACAACAGACAAGCCCCTAGTCTTTGCTGGCGACAAGCTAGGCAACCTAGGTATCTGTGATGCGAGCCAAAAGGTGGCAGAAGTCAAAGTGGAAGACGACGAAGATGCGGAGAGGGAGGGACCCACCATCACCACGTTAAAACCACACACAAGAACCATTCACACCTTCCAATTCAGTCCCCACGATGCGAATGCGCTTTATACGGCCTCTTACGATTCCAGTGTGCGGAAACTAGACCTCGCCAAGGGTGTGGCGGTGGAAGTATACGCGCCGTCTGATAAGGACGAAGAGGCGCCCTTGTCTGGACTCGAAATATCAAAAGACGATGCGAACACGCTCTACTTTTCCACACTAGACGGCCAATTTGGCATATACGATATGCGCACGCCCAAGGAAAAGGCAGCGGGCTTGCAAATCTTCCAGTTGAGCGACAAGAAGATTGGAGGTTTCACGCTGCACCCCCTGCACCCTCACCTCATTGCCACGGCGTCTCTAGACCGCACGCTCAAGATCTGGGACCTGAGGAAGATTAGTGGCAAAGGGGAGAATCGGTCGCCGGCGCTTGTCGGAGAGCACACGAGCAAGTTGTCCGTGTCGCATGCTGCGTGGAATTCTGCGGGGCAGGTAGCTACCGCTTCTTATGACGATACGATCAAGATCCATGACTTTGGTAACTGTGCAGACTGGAAGGTTGGGGTGGAGATGGGGGAAAAGGAGATGGAACCGAGTGTTGTTGTACCGCATAACAACCAGACTGGACGATGGGTTACCATGTAAGTTGCCCAGCCACCCTTTGAAGAGTACTTTTTTTTTTGCTAATAAGAACTGCTAGATTACGAGCCCAGTGGCAGCAGTCGCCTCAAGACAACGTCCAGCGCTTCTGCATTGGCAATATGAACCGTTTCGTTGATATTTACACGGCGAAAGGACAGCAGTTGGCTCAACTGGGGGGCGAGGGTATCACGGCGGTGCCGGCTGTTGCAAAGTTTCACCCTACTATTGATTGGGTGGCTGCTGGTACTGCGAGCGGAAAGCTGTGTCTGTGGATGTGAAAGAAGACGGAGAGGAGTAGAAATGCGAAAAAGGGAACAGAAGGGAAGACGAGACTTGCGTTTTGGTTTGCAAGAGTGAGTGCTGGTTATTTTTGGGTTCATGTTTCGTCGTTTTTGATACCCTGGAGGTCTTTGTAGTTGCACCTGCTAGTCTCGTTGCATCTCCTTTTGTTCTTTACGCTTGAGCCATGATAGCTCTATCACGGTAGTTTCGATTGGGGTACTTGGGATGCTCTTCTGGATGTTGGGTTAAAGGTAACTTGCCGGGCCGCGCGTCTAGGGTCGTTGTCTCAAGTAGTCATCTTCATACTTGATTGCCTCAGGGATGGTGAATGCAAATAATGCACCTGCAGCTCCACTATCCTCACCACGCTTTACCAAACCCCTCCATATAGATAAGAGAGTATATCGACTTCAGGTTCGTGGTGATAAGTCGTGCAATGGCTCATGATCACGTTCTTATTCGTTGCTTGATCTTCCTCGTGGTAGTGAGCTTACAAGTCTCCCGCAGTCTTTGCTATTGCGCGCTTACTAGACTTCTTCGATGCTTGGAAATATCCTTGTGAACTGTGTCTCGTTGCGGAGAAAAGTAAAGACCCTTAACCCAGACTGCCTAGATGCTTCTGTTCTCTGGTCGTTAGAGTTGTACTTTGATCTGCGGAATGGTTGTAACGGCTTGGGCGTCTTTTGCTGGAACGTCCGATGTGCGCATTCCATAACTTGACGTCCACAAGATGTTTCCTAGTTGCACGCTGCCTATTTTCTTGGGTCGTCTCCACATTAGTTGTGTTACTCCACTCTCTGTTCTCGTCCGACGCTACGGTCTGCGAACGTACTCCGAGTAAATGCCTCTCATGCATGAGTCGTAATAGCTTAGTGAGTTATTGCATCATCGGAATATCGATTTTGTGCGATACCTGCATGTATGTGATCTATTGTTTTTGAAATACCGTGGTATCTGTACTGCAGTGCTATTTTTTCGGCCGAATTGAGCAGTATCTCCATAGTATCGACCGGGGTCGGAGGGTCGGCCCATGCAAAACTCAAAGTACGGTAGCCGCGTGCCTGCCATGAGCAGTCTTCTGTCTGCTGCTGTGAGAGATGTCAGGTACCATCTCCACATGTCAGGTACTGCAACTCGACCTGAATTCTCCGGAGAAGCTATAAGCTTAATGACGCTCCGTCATTGTAACACAAAGCCATCATCAAGCTGCTACTGGAACGTAACCCTACCTACCGCTTTCCCTTTTCGCGCCTTCTGTTCATGCGACTCCTAAATAACCGGTCGTATCGACTAACGTTTACCCCAAAGGAAGCTGCTGGAGGCAATACGAGATTTGGTGGATCTCGTATCTCCGGATGCGGCGATGGGGACGGTAGTGTAGGAGCACTAAGGTAGCGGGAGTGGCACCAACAGCGGGGATCGTGCAATCCTACGGCAAAACGAGGCTGGCGGAGGTCCTCCTGCTGTGACGAGCGTTCGCCTTGTGAACTAGGTACTTGCTTGGTACTGTGCCACAATGTTGTTACCATGGTACTTGTTCATCGGTGTCGTATAGACTGTAGCCGCCGCCACGCGGAGAGCCTCCGTCGTGCATCACGTGTGTGGTGCGAATACGATGGTAGAAGCAGCTATTCAGTTCGTCTTCACCAAACGCGCAAGCAAACGAGTGCTATGACTATCGGTACCGGAGTGCGGAGTTATTCTAATGCCACCGCCTCAAGTTGTGCATACCGCCGCCCGTTATCGCTTAAGCAAGCAAGATGCAAGTGGCTGATGGAGGGGAAACCTGCACCCGACATGGAACGACCGTATTCAGTCACACAACCAGCCATAACTCCCCTAACCTTGCATCCTGTGACATTGAGACACGAGGTGATGACCGACAACGAGAAGATGCATATACTACGGAATACGGTAACGGTACGTCAGGGTCAGAATATGACGTTCCCTTGTCGGACAAGCTTTGAATCGCTCGAATGCGTGTTGATGCAACGCTGCCGGCTAGTCCGGTCCCTCTCGCGTCACTGTTTCCAGCGATATTGATTGGGTTGATCATCGCCTGAAACATGCTTAGGGCGGGCTTTAAACGGGCGGGACATTACTGCGAAAGGTATGGTTAACGGAACTGCAGGGACTGTGCAGCGCTGCATCTGCAGCTTGCATACGAGGAATGACGGTGGGGAAACATAGTCGTGTTACTTTACTTAGCAGATTAGTAGGAATTTGGAAGACGGGCAGAACAAACCCCTCACCATCCGTGTTGTATAAAGGAGTCTGCAAACGGCGCTCACAAAGGGACATCACTCTCAGCAAACTCCCAAAAGCAATTACTACTACTACTAGAAAACTCCCTTTTCAACCAAAACACTCGGTTCCTCAACTCCGCTCCCCCAAACAACCACCAAGATGAAGTACACAGTCGTCCTCTCTGCCCTCGCTGCCAGCGCCATGGCATGGGAGCACAAGTCCTCTGCCTGCCCCAAGCCCGAGCACACGACGACCGTCACCGTCGGCCAACCCTCTGCGACACCCACCCCACCCGCCAACGACAACGGCTACTTTGGCGTCATCTCGTCACGCTCTGCCTCGCCCATCCACCTTCTCTCCCTCACTGCACGCGGCAACAAGTTCTACCTCGGCGGCGGACCCCCCAGCTCCTACTGCCCGGTTGAGTCGGTCGGCGCGGCCAACTGCCCACCGGGCAACACCACCGTCCTCGCTGGCGGTGACCAGACCCTCTCTCTCGGTGTCGTGGTCCCCGGTGGCCAGCAGGTCTATGTTGCGCCTGACGGTGCGCTGAGCTACACCACTGCACACAGCGCGTACATCCCCGAGGGCAGCGAACAAACAGGCTTCAGCCGCACTGCTCCCGCAAACGGCAATGCGTTTGGGTACCTCAACTTTGACACTGGCTTTGTTGCTTGCCCGGCTGCCAATGTCACAGCGGACGGATACCAGGTCTTTGGCCAGGTTGCCTCGGGTGCCACATTTGGTGACGACTGCTTAGGCTTCAGCGCACTCACCGTTGCGGTTGATCAGCCTGGTGCGTGGCAGTACTAGACTCGTCGTAATGTCTATTTGATGTAATGGGATGGGATAATGAACAATCATGCGATGGACGGATATGTTTATGGTGTATATACGACGCTCCTTAATGACTTTAATATAATAGTAATGCTTTGGTAAACTCTTCGTTTGCTCATATCGTGCTCTCCAACACCGCTCTGATGCGATTGACTTCTTGCTCAGCCGTGCCTTTGACGCCCACCTGAACAGCCACGGTCTTGTCCCTGCTCTTCATCCCCTTTACGACTTCAACGTCAGACTTTGCGACTCGAAGCGCATCAGCAATAACTTCCCTCACTGCCTTGTTTGCCTCGCCGTCTTTTGGTTGAGCCGCAACGCATATGTCGATGCGCTCATTCGATACCGCTGCGATGCCCTCGCGCTCTGCACTGACCCCAGGCTTGACATGACACAGCAATTGGACAGTGCCTGTGCAGTCCCTCGCGGACTTTTTAGCCGCGAGACGGATCGCGGGAACGGACATGGACGGCGTCGGGATTAAGACGAGATGGAGCGCATGTGACTGCGATGACGGGTGTGTAAGAATGGTCAGCTGGCTTCGCGTCTAGGTAGGTGACGCGGCTGAACGTGCTGCCCAAAGCCGATTGCAGCCGACCAATCGCGCCCCCGAGTGGCTTGTCCAAACACCTGCCAACTGTAATGCCTGCGAGAACAGAACGCACACTGCATACCTATTCACAGTCTCCAGACACAGAAACATTTCTCCAGTTCTAGGGAATCCGAAAATGCCACGTTGCTACCGATGACCCCGTCCGACCTACCTAAAGCGACATGGCGGCAAGTTGCGGTAGTGGGGGCTTTCTTACGGTACCAGTCCCCTAAGATAAAGACTACTTCCCCTAAGTGATAAATTTGACGAGAGCCTCATCGATGTTTCCCTTAAGTACAGGTGTACACGATGGAACGAAAATTCAGCGACACACAATTACCTAAGAGCTTGCGCGCTCCAGAGATAAAAGCCAGACCGCCTGCACCCATTCTGTAGTTTTGTATTTCCATAATTTTTCCTCGATTCGATACCAGACCGAATTGAGTTGAGCGTGTATATTGTACGCATTGCGATATAAGCACCTTTTCTGCACTGCTAGCTAAGCTTGTTACTTTGATAATCGCTATAGAGGTTAATCACAAAAGGTAAGACATGACAGCAGTTGCTTTTTATGACGTGGTTCGCCATGTGGTGGTTGGTTATCTGGAAGTCGCACTTCTGCGACCAACGACGCACAAACAAAGCCCTTTCTCTGCACCACCTCGTGCCACAAACCCGCTTGCGAATAACAACACTAACGCCATTCACAGCACAATGACTTCCGCACCCACAATACAGCCCAAGTTCCTGCCAAACAGGCATGACCTAGGCATCGTCGCAGTCGGCTTCAGCGGCGGCCAGGTAAGCCAGCCCTCCCACCGCACCCATCTTACCTAGACCAAACAACCAACAATGCATCCCACCAGCCCAAAGCCGGCGTCGACGCCGCCCCCATGGCCCTCATTGAAAACGGCCTCATCAAGCAACTGGAAGAAGACCTGGAATTCAAAGTCACCTACGACGGCCAAGTGCACAACTACACGGAGCTGCAACCCTCAGACGACCCAGACTACCGCGGCATGAAGCGACCAAAGTTCGCCTCGGCAGTCACAAAGCAAGTCAGCGATCAAGTCTACGCTCATGCCTCGTCGGGAAAATTGGTGCTGACGCTCGGTGGTGATCACTCGATTGCCATCGGCACCGTTTCTGGTACCGCCAAGGCTGTGAGGGAAAGACTGGGCAAGGATATCGCAGTCATTTGGGTCGACGCACATGCCGATATTAACACGCCTGAGACGAGCGATTCAGGCAACATTCATGGTATGCCCGTGTCGTTCTTGACGGGACTGGCGACGGAGGAGCGGGAAGATGTGTTTGGCTGGATTAAGGAGGAGCATAGGTTGAGCACGAAGAAACTGGTTTACATTGGTGAGTTTCTTGTCCCTGGCATGGAGTGCATGTGAGATGAGAGACTGACACCTTGCAGGTCTTCGGGATATTGATCGGGGGGAGAAGAAGATTCTGAGGGACCATGGCATCAAGGCCTTTTCCATGCACGATATCGATAGGCATGGTATCGGCAAAGTCATGGATATGGCATTGGGTTGGATTGGCAGCGACACGCCCATCCATCTCTCGTTTGATGTCGACGCTCTCGACCCCATGTGGGCGCCTAGCACCGGTACTCCTGTCCGCGGCGGTCTGACTCTCCGCGAGGGTGACTTCATCGCCGAGTGTGTTGCCGAGACTGGTCAGCTCATCGCGTTGGATCTCGTCGAGGTCAACCCCAGTCTTGACGCTGAGGGTGCTGGAGACACGGTCCGCGCGGGTGTTTCGATTGTTCGTTGCGCGCTTGGTGATACGCTTTTGTAAGCTTGTTTCGACTTGTGGAGTTTTGTAGGCTTTTGATTAGGGAGATAGACATAGATGGTACTCGTAGATGATTAATTACGCAAGTTCACATCGCATTTGCATCAAACGTTGGCAGGTAGATGTAGACGCTGGCATGGCAACTACTAATATATCCACGAGAGCATTCGCGGATTTGATAGACGTGCAGGGTAACTACATCTACATTGGTGATGTTGATAGTTCTCTTTGTGGCTTATTGTCGCAGTCTGTCCTGCTTGCTTGCGGAATGTACTTGTCAGTGTGGGAGTGCATGTGTCAGTGATAAACAATAGTGAGGCATCTACTATGACAGCTACGGAAACAATCGAAGGTCTGATAGGTATGCAGGGCAACCACTTCTATGTTGAACAAGCCAGTAGAAGACCTTACTACCTGTTGCCGTAGTCACTCCTGCTAATATCTAGGTGTTCGGATTAATTCCGAACCCAGCAGGTAAGAGCTCTAGATCACACTTCCTGTAAAATGCAATTGCAGGTAAGTAACGAAGCAGCTGCGCAGCAGTGGCTGCCAGCTCTAGAGATGTGATATAATGATTTCTGCCCGTGGTGTTCTCTCTTCTTTTCTTCAGCTAAAGGCGACGGAACAAAGGTATGTTAACGTTTCTCTCCCTTCACTACCCATGCCCTATCAAGCAAGATACACTACATCAAAACGTTAATTCTGCTTCAAAATGCTAATTTGTACAATTTTGTTGTAGCTAGTTCCAACTTAAGATGTCTGCTTGCATTTGCAACTGCGGTTCGGGGCTATTGGCCACTATAGGAACCAATGTTCTCAGTAGTGGCATTTTCTTGTGCCTGTGCCTTTTAGGCACATATGTCTTCGGCTGGTGGTTTGGCCTAAGTTGGCCTTGGGAGAAGGCTAAGAGAAAGGCCTTGGTGGATGACCTCGAGGCTGCCAACCTCAAGTTGGTGCGGAGGAGGCGGGACTCGGTGGAGGGGGCGTTGGGGCAGGAGGTGGTGATGGCGGCCATTGCCGAAGAGCGGCATCAAGGGGATGCCGCCCGGCTAATGAAGAAGATCTCTGATCTTCGAAAAGAGTTGGAAGAGGCGAAAGCCATGGGCTTCGTCCCGGCATCCGGGCTTGGGGCCGCTGGCCCATCGACCGTCCGAAAGCGCAATCCGTCCTAAGTATATTTTCCCTTCATCGCATGTATCACCTATCTTTTGTATCCCTTATATCTTTTACCATTTCCCTTTCATAACATGTAACATCTTCTTTCTGTATCCCTTACATCTCTTACTATTGTCATTCTTATGGGCCTTGTCCCCCACCTCCCCGCGGTTAGGCCTGGGGCCACTCCCAAGGATGAAAGGGAGTGGTGCAAACGGGGGCTATTCTTACTCACCATCTACGATACATCTAAGAGCGCAGATCGTCTCAACTCGTACCTCACTTCTTCCGGTCTGGCGGAGACATTCAGAATACGCGATCAGCAAGCCTATCCGCGAAGCTGTTGTACCCTTCAGCAGCAACTGAACCACCTTTCTCGGCCTTCGCCATCCACCATGTCAACTCCCAAGGCTACAAGCCTTCCGGGAAATCTCCTCCTCACAGGCGTTGTCGGTTCCAGCCATGGCCTGTCTTTGAACACTCAACGCTTCTCAGCGACCATGTCGTCTCGAAATAGCAGACTTCCAAACCTGTACCAGCAGCGAAAGCACATCAAATGAGCTGTGGTAGAATGCAATGTAGCTTCATACCTGGTCAAAGCCTTCACTACCTCACTCCCGCGACCACCGCAACCACAGCCACAGCGCTCTTCTGATGGCTCACACGCAACCCAAACTGTTCGTACAGCCAACACTCCCAGCGCCTTTGTATCACAGCCACAACAACCTCCAGATGTTTCACTGGCTCGCATGCAAGTCGCACTATCCATACCAACAGTCGGTACCGAGCCTTGATATCCAAATGCTTCCGGTGTTGACGCTACTGGCTGCTGTCTGGCACACACTCGTTGCAAAGCCTTCACACTTACTCTAGTCAACGCATCAGAAACCAAGACTTCATTCCAAAAACCCTGGCACGAGATCAGTGCTCATCTCTGGATCATGTATGTAATCACTAAATAGAACAGGTAGCATAGATAGTATAGATAGTATACGTAGCTCGTACCATTAAAAAAGACCAACAAGTTTCTCATCCAGTCACTTCTCGCTTACTTTTATTTGATTGAACCCGTGCATGTCCTTTACCTTGGTACAAAGCCCCTCTTTGCTGACCCAAGCGACCGTAAACCGTGGTTTTACTAGTGCGCTCTCATTAGCTGTATAAAATCTTCCTCACGTTCTCTCAATCTCCATGTATCTCCTACTTTCTCCAAATCTCTGCAGCTGTACTGGAATATTGCCATCATGCCAACATTCAGTCTAGGCCGTCTTGGTCGCTTCCAAATATCTCGTCTTCCTCCTCCAAACACCTCGTCGCCAACAAAGCAGCATGATTTACCTTCCAGTCCTCCACCAGAGTATACCAAAATTGCCGAAATTGAAACCAAGTTCCACGCTCCATCGAAAGCTCAGCCACCAGAATGCAATATAGAGCAGGTACGTCGATTCCTTATCGAGATCGTTGCGATTACCCTTGGCGCCAACTTCGACGAGCTGAACGCAGCTCTCTACGACATTCCTGCACCAACCGGCACGAACACAATCCTTTGCGACGACGAGCGCGCAAATCTCCTCTCCCAGTCTAGCATCGTCCGCAAGGTCCATAGGCGCTTCGTAGACAATGAAAAGACGAGGATAGATCGAAAGGACGAAGATAAAATCCTCGCAACTATCACCAAACCTGTGGAGAGCTTTTCAGACAACTTTACAATACCCTCGTACTCTTTGGACATGATAGGATGGTACGGCGAAGAAGTGCGATCGCCGTCTGGTATACCCTGGGCGTCTACCATCCCTGGATTTTGGGATACAACACCCCCGTGGCCGTATACATCTTATGACAAACGGCCATTCGAATCCAGTATGAGGGCATTCTTTGTCATCTTCAAGTCTGTATCGCCTAACGACAGGGTGCACGGCATACTATGGGAAGCATGGGACGATTCACGGAGACGTTATGGCTTGGGTGATTTGGGCGATCCGATTATATGTTGGCCGCTGAGGGGGGGATATGAGGACATGTGGAAATCGCTTCAGAAGATGACGCCGTCGGAGCTTTGATGGGCCGTGAAAAGGTCCGTAGATATCGTATCTTCCACTGGCAACATACTTCCCACCAATGACATAAGGAACAATCATGAGTTTTTCATGTTTACAAATACGTCTCTCCATTCATCTGTGACTGCCGAGTTCCGAAGGAGTGTTTGAGTTATGGAGTGCAATCGCAGTGGATCGATCCCGGGAGGCGATCAACCGCGCTAGTGCAGCCCCTAAGCACAGCCCCATGCACCAACAGCCACAATGACATCATGCTAGCTGTACCTGCAGCAACCAACACCATCAATTTCGCTGTAAACCTGCTGTTAGCCCGAGACGAAACACGACAAGCGCGGTTTGCACATCGCCATCTTCCAAGGTTTCTCCGCCGCCTTCTCCTCTTTTTCTTGTGCATTTCCTTCCACTCTTCCCTTTCAGTCTGTCGCTTCGACTTGTAATTTCCCTACACGCGACTTGCACGCGAGGGCCCCTTTAGACCTCGATCCTTGTCATCACAACAACACCAACAAGATGGTGCATCAACGCGCATCTCAGCGAGCTCTGCTACTCAGCGCGACACTTGGTCTCGCTGGTGCAGTCGCCGTGCCAGAGCCGACAGCTGTTCCCGCCAAGGTCGAAGTTCGGGCGCCCGTTGTGACTCCCGCGGCCATCCGGTTCGATGGGCGACACAGCTATGTGCAGAAGAGGGATATCCTCGACGACATCAAGAGTGGCGTAGAGAACTATGCAAACTCGATAGGCAGCGTTCTGGGAACAGACCTGCCCAGCTTCTTCACAGAGGGTAAGCAAATGCATCCAAGGCAAGCCTCGCGCTAGCAAGGCTTGTGCTGACACTTCGTCACTAGGCATCCCCGGCTGGTTCGAGGACCTGCCTACCGGCAGCCAAGTCCTCTCAAGTCTCGGCATTAACGACGACGATTTGGCTGCGAAGCCCACCGAAGTCCTCAACATTCCTCCCTATGCCAACTGGACCGACCAGGGCTGGAACGTTCGCTTCCACGGCAATGTCTACAAGTTCCCGGACATCTCGCAGAGCAAGGTCGACGACTTGGCCAACGTCTTCCTGATCGACACCAGTGTTGACCAGCTGCCTGACAACCAGAAGGCCCAGGCACGCAACCTCACGCGATCCATCTTCGTCGTCCAGCAAGGCGGTGAGAATGTCTCCATGTCGCTCGAGCCCGCGCCCATGCAGGGTGGTGATGGTGAGCCCGGAGGCGGCAACTCTGTCGAGGCACCTGGTGGCGTCCAAAACCTCACCCTCCCCTACGAGACGACCGTAGAAGGCGACTTTGACGTCTTCGTACCCATCCAGTCCAACGGCCTCCTCCCCGGCAATGAGACCAACAACGTCCAGCGCCTGAACGTCTACACCAACGGCACCATGAGCGGCAATGCCACTGCCTTCCTTGTGCCATCTGAGGGTATCACCTTCATCTCCGACATTGACGACATCCTGCGTGTAACCAAGATCTACGACCCCAAGGAAGGCCTTTTAAACTCCTTTGCCCGTCCCTTCACCCCCTGGATGAACATGCCCGAGATCTACGCAAACTGGTCGCAGACCCTCCCCAACAACACGCACTTCCACTACCTGACCACCACCCCCGAGCAGGCCACCCGTCTCTACATGGACTTCATCTACAAGACCTACCCTGGTGGCTCTTTCGACACGCGCCCGCTCAACTTCTCAGACGTATCCGCTACCCTCTCCATTCGCATGTTCCTCCTCCAGAAAGTCTTTGCCACCTTCCCTCAGCGCAAATTCGTCCTCGTGGCCGACACTTCAAACAGCGACGTCATGAAGGACTATCCCCAGCTCGCTCACGACTTCCCGAACCAAGTTCAATGTATCTTCCTCCGCAATACCTCTGCCACCGACGACACTATGTGGTTCCCGTACAACACTGAGGGCTTCAAGGGCCTGAACAACAGGAGCTACATGTTCTTCCGTGAGCCAAATGATTTGGCTGGACTGGATATCGTTAACGGACAGTGTCTGAATGAGACGATTCAGCAAAATGTTACTTTCTCGAGGCAGGCGGAGATTTTGGGAATTCATGGCGATAGTGCGGGTGGCAAGTTGAACAGTGGGGCTACGATTGGCTTCGTGGTTGCGCTTTTCGCTGCTGTTGCGTTGTCATTGTAGGGGGAGAAATGGATATGGTTAGGTTGAGATGAATGCATACGAGATACGTTGTTTGCTTGTTTCCTCTTCTTTTTTCCTCATTAATATTGAGTTTTGGCATAGCGGCATTATCTGCTTTTTTGATTTTGAGTCTTCTTGTTCATAGTCAATTTTTATCATGGGTACAATTATCAGATTGTCACGATTGAATTTCACGTTCCATGTGTATGTATGGGCATGTGCTACTGCGCAGGTGAAGAACAAGGACGACCACAATGATGATAAATCTATGGACTCTTGATACGAGCGTTGTGCTTAACACTGTCTTAGTTCTGACACCGCTTACCCTTCTTATCCTCACCATGCCTGCTACCGTGAAACCAACACACCCTATTCTTCACGTCGTCGTTCCGGTGGTTAAGTTTTCGTCGGCTACCATATTTGCATAGTGGCACATTGTTCTTTTTGGTGGCTGCCATCATGGAGTTGACAGTCTTAGTTCCTTTCTCCTTCTCTGTCTGTGTGACTGGTTCTGGTTTGTGGTGATCTCTATGAAAGCCAGAATGTTGAGTCAGTGCAAACTTATCGGTGCGTAAGACATCCGGTAAGCCATCGCTTCGAGAGGCAGAGTAGGGACGCTTTAGGGATGGGAGTGAACGAGAGTGTGAGATTTCGGAATCATCTGAGCTGCATGATTCAGATATAGAGTTGCGCTGAGGGAAGACTAGGTGCTGATTTGGATCGTCAGCCACCATAGCTGAGTCGCGACGTTCAGTATTGTGATCCATGGTTGTAGTTGAGCAGTGGGAGTTATAGCTGTGATTATACGCCTGGGTAGGCTGGGCACTGACGTTGGATGATGGGTTCAATTACTTCTTCGAATGGAGGACTGCAAGGGCTACCTATGTATGTATGGTCTCGCAAACGAAGCTTAAAGACATTGGGTCGACAAACAAGTGACCATGGGTGATATATTGCAATGGATATCTCTAGACGACTCAAGATGTTTTGAGTTCATCCCCGAATGTCTTGAGACACTCCATCAGATACGATGTTGATATCCCATACGCACAGCCATAAGTCCTGAACGAACAACCAGATAGCCATCTCAAACACTAATACTCTCCTCAAACCTTCTAGCAATCTCTAGCATCTCAGCATCAAGTCTCGAGCCACTCAAAAATGTTACGCTGAATGGCAACACACCACCGTCCTCCTCCTTCCCACTCAGTTCCTTAACAGGATATGTCCCCGCCGGTACAGCCACACCACACAAATCCAGCACATTCCCGCAATGTGTAAACTCGCCCAAGATACTATTCTTCTTGATCGGATCTGCGAGCACCTCGTCTATCTTCCAGTGCGTAGGCGTCGTTGGTACAACCACTACATCAACGCCAGAAGCGGAGTATGCGAAAACCTTCTCTGCTTGGCGGGTATAGAGAGCTTGCGCTTGTAGGTCGCGGTATACATCTACGGCCGAGCTCTTCCGCGCAACAACAGCGTCCATGAGCTGAGCGGTTACAGGATGTAGTGCTGAGCGGTTCTTCTTAAGAAAGTCATCTGGGAGAGAGGCTAGGCGTTCAGAAACGAAAGTGCCGTCGTAGAGGAGTTGACCCGCCTTTTGGAAGGGCAACCAGTCGATTGGTGTGAGGACGCCACCGATTGCTTGTAGTTTCGATACCGTCTCGTTGAACATGCGCCGGGCTGGTGTTGAGCAGATGGCGAGTGCTTCGGGTGGTGGGATGCCGAATTTGAATGTGTGCGATTGGGGACCGATACTGTTTACGTGGCGTTCGAATGTTATCTCGGGTTTCGCGTAGGGGTCGAGCGGGTCGTGGCCTTCGAGGATTTGCCAGAGAATTCGCGCGTCGGATATGGTTTTGGTGGAGAGTGCGATGCAGTCTAGTGACAGACATGCCGGTGTGATGCCTCGGAAGGAGATTGTTCCTCGTGTGGGCTTGTATCCGACGATGCCGTTGAAACCAGCAGGTACTCTGCCTGAACCGGCTGTATCCGTTGCTAGGGAGAATGAGACGAGGTTGGCTCCTACTGATACAGTGCTGCCGCTGCTTGAACCGCCGCTGATGTAGTCTTCGTGGTAGACTGAATGAGTGATACCGTATGGACTGCGACAGCCTACAAGTCCGGTAGCGAGTTGATCTAAGTTGGCCTTTCCGATAAACAAAGCACCTGCGGCGATGACCTTCTCGTACACAGGAGCAGACGATGAAGGTACATGAGCAAGTGGCGGACATGCAGTTGTGGTAGGAAGACCGGCGATATCGATACTATCTTTAACACTGAACGGAACGCCAAATAGAGGTGGAAGAGCGTTTCGATCAGGAAAAGTCGATATCAACTGTCTTGCGGCGTCTAGAGTCACTACGCGTGGCGGCAGGTGTATCCATACTGCGGGATCTATCTTCTTGTACGCTTCGATCTTGTCGTAGACCGCGTCAACGACTGTTAGGGGCGAAAGACCGTTCTTGTACGCTCGCTGAAGAGCGGGTATCGTGAGATCGCCGTCGAATATCGGCGGTGTTTGAGGAGGCGTTGAATCGGCTTCGACACTCTTGCTTGATACTGGTGCGAGGGCATCTAGTAAAGGGTCCAGGCTACCAATGTATCCGAACAGGCCTTGCGACCAATGTATCATATCCAAAGTCGACTTCTTGAAGCAAGCGTCATTGTATCCGCTGGTGGCCTCTTCAATACCACAGCATTCGAAGCCTCGATCGTTCGCTTCCCGGATGGTAGTAGCAAAGCAGCATTCCGTAGTGACACCAGAGACAATGAGGTGTGTGATGGCTCTCGCCTTGAGTTGATGCAGAATGGTTGTATTCCAAAACGAGCCTTTGCCTGGTTTATCGATGATAACCTCTCCAGGCAACGGCTTCAGCTCTTCGATAATATCATGTCCGTATTCTCCACGGGTAAGTAGGCGACCAAGCTCTCCCTTGTCACCTATGACTAGTTTGTGTTGGGTGTTGCCTGGTGCAGCTTCTTGTCTGATCAACTTTGATGATGGGCAGTCGGAAAGGTCTGGTTTATGGCCCTCGCGAGTGTGGAACACAGTCAGACCGGCGCTCCGGCACGCTTCCAACAATTTCTTAGTTGGAGCAATCGAAGCTTGAACAGCCTCTAGGTTTCCTCCTTGGATTTCGCCGAAACCTTTGGTGAGCAGGAAATCGCGCTGCATGTCGATTATGAGCAACGCAGTATGTTCCAAAGGGAAGGAAAACGCGTATGGCTTCGCGTCAAAGGAGATCATCGTGGTATTGAGGGGCATGTTTGCTGTCGTTCGCAATAGCGTAAGGCTACAAAGACGCGATGGTTGAAAGGCTGTGCGTATGCTAAACGTGCCAGATCTCTTCGAGCTCAAGTAGGAAAGAAAGATATACAGAGACCTAGGAGAGAAGACCGGCACTCCATACCGGCGTCCGACATCGAACTCATCAGATGAACGTGGGGAGTCCAAGACTGGCCGCGAACGGAACAACGGAATATGCAACGAGCCTACGGCCCGAGTTTGGGCGACGGCTATCGAAAAGGCACTAGAAAAAAAACAGCCTAGCGTGCCTCACCGATAAGAAGCCTCCGCTCTGCCCAGCGGCTGACACTTATTGATGCCTGTCTACATATCAAGATTGGAGTACTGCCCTCCTTGATAGTTATGCCAAACCTTTCCCGTCTCCGCATTCACCCCGCCGCGCCAACGGCGAATACCTCCGAGATAGGAACTGATATGGTTATCAAGCTGGGGGCGATCATGGTACAGCCATGTAGCTGTCGCGATTCAGTAATCGAGACTGTGGAGCTTCATAAAGGCCGAATGTAGCTCTGTTCAAATGAAACCCAGTGTATTCGTTGTATTGTCTTACTTCTGACCATGTCTGTGCTTAAAGCAAGGCTTGCACCTCATCTTCACCTCAGGGTACCCTTTGAGAGCGGTAAATATGGGTCGCGCTGGTCAAACAAAGGTATGTAGTTGATGGCACATGTATATATCTGAGCCAGGCTAATCCTCAGGTGAACAATAGATCTTGATCCGGTTCCTCCTCAACAGCGTACCTGGGGTGGGCTTGACTACTGGGCGTACTGGTGCTCGGATATGCTCGCCCCTCCTTTGGCGTCCACCGTCAGCAGTGTCATGGCGCTGGGTTTCACGGCTAGAGAAACGATACCCATCGTCTTCTTTGGGTTCGCCATTTGCAGTGTGGTCATAACGCTCACTGGGAAGATGGGCGCCACGTACGCTGTATCATTCCCCGTTGTCATCCGAAGTGTCTTTGGCATGTATGGCTCGTTTCCAGCGATCTGCATTCGAGCCTTCGTTGCGATGATGTGGGCTGCTATTCTCACAGTGCAGGCAAGCAACTTCCTGCAACGTTGCCTTGAGGCGATTTGGCCAAGCTTTATCACTTTTCCGAATCATTTGCCTGAGAGCGCTGGTATAGACTGTATGTCTCATCAATCTCTATATATCCATGCATGTTGCTAACAGTCCCGTAGCGGCTGGTTTGCTTTGCTTGTTCTTATACTGGTTTCTCCAGACCGCACTTGCCCTCATGCCGATCTCAAAGTTGCGCGTTCTCTTTTGGATCAAGGGCATCGTCGTGCCGCCAACGTTCTTCGCATTGTTCCTTTGGGCCGTGATTGTGACCAAGGGGTAAGTGTTTCTGAGCATAATGCACCTTTAGATAGCGCTGACTTTATATCCAGTGGTGGTCCCCTCATCAAGGGAAAAGTGGAGATTACCTCAACTTACATGAACACGACCTACTCAGTCCTCACTGGACTCAATGCCGTCGTTGGACTCTTCTCGTCCCTAGCCGTCAACATGCCAGACTTCGGCAGGTTCTCCAAGAACCAACTCGCGGGTTACCACCAGTTCCTCGCTTTACCCATCATTGGAACATTAGGAGCGCTGACACCCATCTTCGTCACTGATGCTCATTCCTATATATGGGGCGACTTTGAGTGGTATATGCCAGACGTCATCGCCAAATTCGACTCCAGAGCTGCGAAATTCTTTGTATCTGCCAGCTTCCTCCTTGCCACCATTGGAAATCAAATCGCAGCAGATACGTATCCGTTCGCGAACGATGTTGCTGGTATGCTACCAAAATACGTCAACATCTTCCGGGCTACCATCATCATCTCCGTCTTTTGCATTGTATCCACTCCATGGAATATCATTAAGAATGCGTCTGGCTTGCTCTCGTTCCTGAGTGGCTACTCATGTCTCATGGGTCCTCTCGCAGGTACTATGGTCAGCGACTATTACCTCGTGAAGAAGGGCAAGCTCGATGTGGATCAGCTATATACCGATCGTGGCATTTATTGGTACAACCACGGTTGGAACTGGAGAGCATATGTGTCATTTGTTGTAGGATTTGCTCCCCTTCTCCCTGGCTTTGCGAAGAGTATCGACAATACTCTAGATATCGGTGGCGCATGGAAGGTATACACATTCGCGTGGATCTTTGGGTTCTGCCTTTCGCTAGTAACGCACTACATCATCTGCATGTATATTTCGCCAGCAACAGGGTCGTTGGTAGAAAGTGCGGTGTATCCGCCGCAAAAGGAGGCGATTGCGCCAATCCTGGAAGGTGAAGAACCATTGAATGAGGAGACACTTGTGTCCAAGGAGAAGGGAGTAGCTGATATGGCTTAAGTAATGTCGTGTTAGAAGTTTCAATAAAGACCAATTCATATCTGCTACTACCTTTCCGTGTATGACGTTGTGGATGAGTAGCGAAGATCTGGTGTTCTCTTAGCGATGCCGCTGATTAATTTCCGCTTGGTCAGTGCTCTTTCGCGTTAGACCTCGGCTGCCTCCTGTTCAGCTTGACTCTTCACCCTCCCTGCCGGCACCTCAGCGCCCATCGCATCCACATCATAGGTGACTTCCCAGTGGAGCTAGCAGCTACGTCCAACATGCATCAAGCCAGGGCCGTAGTGTGATGCACTGGATCCATGGAGAGAACACCCTGGCCAGCCACTTTACGAAGTAGTCACGCGGACGCGTCTCCTGGACCGCGACTCCAATAACAACGACTTGGCGTCGTCCGTCTGTTGCCGAGACGGACGAACACTGCATGCTGAGATGCAAGCATGAACTTCATGCCTGTTGAGAACTCGCCGCCAAACCACTTCCCACGTGTAACCAACGCCCAGACTACCAAGTCCAAATCGCGCCGCCCATGTGATCCGTGCCGTCGACGAAAGTCACGGTGCGAAATATCAGAAAGCGGGCCACCATGTGTTCTTTGTCAGTTCCATGATCAGGAATGCACCTTCAACGAAAATCCGCAACCGCGGAAACGGCGCGCTGTCGCTATCAACGAGGGTTCTGAGCCTGTTGGGACCATTCGCGGCCAGCTACCTCTTGCAAACGATCATGGAATTAGCACTGCAGCTTCTACATCTCCTCAAGAGATTGCAGCCAGGATCCGACAGGATCCGCCAATCGATGACTATGCAAATCTACGCGGGCCTTCGCTCCTAAAGAAAACGCTCGGCCTGCAGACTAATAGGCACAGTCGTTTTGTCGGTTCTACTTCCGAGTACGAACGTCTGTTGTTGGCACTCGAGCCACTTCAATCGATTGCTGGCGTTGATTCTTTGGTTGGCCATCCAATATTAAGAAAAGTTGATGATACCGACCCAACAATATTCGTCTTATCACCTGATGCCGGCACACTCAACAGTCATAATGACATTCCAGATCTTGATGCTATCGAGATGGCTGTAGCACCACATGGCTCCGCGTTGATACGTCTCTTCTTTAGAATCGTACATCCCAGCTTCCCAATCTTGCACAAGAAAGTGTTCTTAGAGAAGTATGAGCGAACCCACCGAGAGTTCTCACCCCCGCTTCTGGCAGCAGTATATCTCCTGGCTCTGAACTGGTGGTCGTATTCTAGTGAGTTGGCATTGCAACTCAAACCGAATGTTTCGCATCTGGAAGGATTAGCAATGAAGTCGTTCAGCAACATTGTCCATAGGCCTAAACTTTCGACTATACAGGCGGGCTTGTTGCTCCTCCAGCGGCCAGAGGGTAACAGTTGGGCGCTGACATGCCAGCTCGTCGGTCTCGGGCAGGACATGGGTCTCCAACTCGACTGTACGAACTGGCACATACCGGACTGGGAGCGTGGTCTGCGCAAGCGTCTGGCCTGGGCCATATTTATGCAGGACAAATGGGGTTCTCTTATACACGGTCGCCCCTCACACGTCACGCCAACAGACTGGGATGTGCAGCCCCTGACTGAAGACGACTTTCCAGAGAACGCCGCCGATGAGGATGACGAAGACGGAAGTACCGAGGTGGAAAAAGGACGAATCATGTTTTGTTACATGGTAGAACTCACACAAATTCTGGCACAGATCCTATCGACTTTCTACACTCTGAAGGCTGAGCGCGACTTCGCCAGCCGTACCCAGGAAGGCGTTAGATCGCTACTTGAAGCAGCCAAGCCTTTACAGCTTACACTACGTCAATGGTACGCCGACATGCCGTCTGCGCTCAAGATGCAGGACATAGCTCCAAGGAAGCTCTCTAGCGTCGGTTACCTCCACCTTGGCTACTACGCAGTTGAAATGACCTTGCATCGACGTATCATTCGCTCATTGTCTCCATCAGACGGTCCGGAAATCCGCGCTATATGCCGCCAGGCTGCACAAAGCCGACTCACATCTGCTTTCGCCTTCGTTCAATCGCTCCGACCAGAACATCTCCAATCCTTTTGGTACTCATCATCCACATACAACTTCGTACTCATCGGCTCTTTCATCTCGCTTCTGTGGGTGACATCTCCCGATAGAGAAGAAGCAGTGAAATATCGAGCTCATCTGGATGAATATAGATGGATCATACGTCTCTCTAGCAAATCGGCCGACTTCCTTGAGAGAGCGCTGATATCATTAGATCTAACTTCAAGTACGCTGATGAAGGCCGTTCCTGATGACAATGTTCCGTCTTCCGCCGCGAACGGTCATCAGAGCAGAATAGGCAATGAAACACGTTACGGTGCTGATGCGGGTCGCTCCCAAAACTCTAGATCCGTACCGAATGGCTCGGATTCGCCTGTCACATATCTCGGTCAAGGAATAAGCGAAACACTACTAGGGGGTGATGGATTGGCTGAACATTCGTGGTTTAGTGCAGTAGATGAGAGTAACTTCGATGGCGGTTACAGTACTCATGGCGTCGCTCTGCCTGGGCAGCCGGACATGACATAAGGCGCGATCATGCAGTATCGTTGACGTTATGACTTCTCAATAGTTGTCACAAATCTCGATGCTGAGCCTAGCATTACGCAAACTCATATTGCCGTTCCTATTTCGTCCATGTCAACTGCGCTTTTGGTTGGTCTTGGCTCTGCACCCTGCAAGTCAGCACATACGAGGCCAAACGACAAGGATTGTATGGATGAAAGCCACGATCCAATGCGGCGAAGAATAGTCGTACAAGTCCTTTTGCACTATTCCACCACATTTCAGCAAGTATTTACCCAGGCAAGTCCTGAATTATGTATCTTCGCCAAATCGCAATCAGAAGCTCCAATCTTACACACAAGCGAAAAGCGATAAAGGACGAGAGCTAGCCTTTGCCACTTGGTCGTTGCAAAGATGGAGAAACGAGCGGCGGCATCATGCTTGATGAAATTAGAACTACAGCGCATTCCATAATGCTGCCTAAAAGCACCTCTCTCTGCGTCGCTTCGAGTGAAATGGATGCTTTCTATAGGTGCAAGTAGACATCACCCCGACCATGGGCGCTCACGGAACGATCTTCGTGAGATTGGAGATGTCTGCTAAGGAGATATTCTATCCCTGCATTGAAGGCACCTTGTCTTCACATATGTAGGAGTACACTCATTCAGATGTGCATGTTGGCAAGTCTTGAAGCAAAATTCTTGTTCTCCACTACATTGAGAAATTTTAAAAGAAACAGCCCTTTGCTTGCGTATAAGATTCAGTACACATATACAACCTTTTCTCGAATGATGGAAAGTTACAAGAAGAGCTCGCGACCTTTTTCATTTGCGAAACCGTCTACATCTTGAAAGGATTGAGCTTTTGATGACTACGGATTATCTGTCGCAAATCCGAATGGCACGAAGTACCAGTGATGGAGCGAGTGATATACCACCAGCTAGCCTAGTATTATGTTCTCGTCGTACCAAGCAATAGAGTCCCACTCTTCTTTGCGTATCTTAGCGACACCGAGCCTCTCAAATACAAATGGGCGATTACCTACTGGTTTGATACAAAGTGCCTTCACTTGGGATGATGAGCCGCGGTACCCATTACAACAGATACCAATGAAATACAAAGGACCAAGTATATCCAACGACCACTTTGGAGGGTCAAGGTCAAAAGTCATCGTGCCTACATAATTGTTTTCTTTCTTTTCCAAACGGCTCAAGCACACAAGCCAGTGCCCCCGTTCCTCGTGTTTCTTTGTATGCCGTGATACTCTAAATCGCCCTCTCTGTGCTTTGATATAAAGGTATGGGTGTAGACAATCTGGGTCGACACGTTCCTGAGATGCTCCGTTACTGCATCTTTTCATGGTCATCTCGTGCATCTGTAGACAAGTACTACACTGCGCTTGGATCACTGTGGGTATGTCGAGATTTGTAGAGTTGGTCCATTCTTCCAATGAGAAATGCCTCTCCAAGTCCGGCTTGTCACCATGTTGCCAAGCCATCCATGACCAGCTCGGGATTGTAGGTGACCCATCCTGACGTAGGGGCAGATTTCTCCTCCGTAACTTGGGTTTGTGCGATGTCCATAGGAGTGATGTTGTAAGGGCATGTATTGGGTGCCCATAGAGCAATTCTGTATTAAGCGCATACCAACTTTTATCCGGTCTCGTGAAGTAACTGATGACTCCTGAATACGCTCTGATAACATCTGTATCCCTCGAAAGTGCGCGAGGTGCAAACTCATTCACTACCTTTGCGTATATTTTCCATCGATCGAAGTCAAGAGACTGCTTCTCAGACCCAGTTTCTGACAGACGAGGAGAAACTGAACTTTCGCAGAAAGATCGCAAAAGTGTGTTCGCTTCACTCAAGACTTGAACAATCATTTCTGGTGCTTCAACAGTACGCGGAGTCGTCGTGAAAATTGCGCCTTCTTCGAAAGTCGTTTCTGCGCATTTTAGAGATATACGATCACTGATAACTAGCGCTCGTCGAGAGAAAAACCCCTCTTGTAGTGTCCAGCCACGAGAAAACCATGGGAATTCATTTTCGTGAGTACTATGAGCCATGCTGCCGAGCACGTAGTTTGGGTAGCGGATCACTTTCCCCGGCAATGTTCGGGTAGACGGACTAGTTTCGTAGCCGGTAATACCACCATCCGCGTTGTTCTTGTTAGCTACTACAATGGTCAGATGCGCATTATGGTAGATAGTGTGCATCTGATTCAGGTAGAGATTGATTTGGGGATCGTCTTGTAGGATACAAAGACAATCTACCCAGAGGTAACGAATATCCAGATCTGCAGTCAGACGCATTGCATTCCTGATCGTAAGTGGAATTGTGACAGTATGCGATTGATGCGACAGGCTTCGCGGTTTTTGGAGCGCCTCAATATTTCCAGAAGTCAATTTGGTAGAGCTGACATTACCCCAAACATAACTGAGAGCTGCGTAGCGCAACTGCGGTGGGGGCATGAATGTGATACATTCCTCAACCACATCGATAAGATAAAGTGATATAGTCGTTTGTTTGTCGGGATCATGTTGGCAGAATATATGTCCGCGCTCGCATGTCTGCAACCGGGATTTGATCGTTTCGACTGGAAAACTAACACCCTTCGTTGTGTCGCGATGTTCTTCTCGAAGCCGCGAGGAATACATGGAGCGCTGGAGTAGGTAGATATTCGATAGTGTTGGCGGGATGTACTTGGAATCGTGAGACATGGAAGAGGGCGTATCAACATATCGTATGCTAAGCTCCTGTCTCCGCGATTTTCTCGTTGCATTCGTGGAATTAGAGCAGTCCAGTTCGGATGCTTCCTTTTCGTACAAGTTGAGGATGTCTCTGCATGATGGACATGTCGTGCTTGACTTGATCGAGCTTGATTGAGCTTTCAGTGACAGGAATAGAGCTTTGAACCCTTCTGAGGGTAAACGATGATATCCTGGCCTCCGAACCGTTAGGGATTCCAATTCTGAGGTCTCAACGTCATGGATGGATTGATCCACACGTAGGCACTCTTTACAGTACAATGCTTCATCCGTGTTCAATGATCCTAGGGACTGCATTGGTGTAGTTCTGACACTCGCGTCCTGTCCACGGTAGTTTGGGACCCGCGAGGCAAGATTGTATCATAGGCCTAGGCCTCCAAATGTAGTTTTTGGCGACAACTGTGGTGTTCTCAGTCGCTCTGCGAGCAATGATGAAGTGCACCAACAGTGAATAGAGGGACAATGATCAAACATTGATCGAAGACTGTGAAGGTGTATGTTATAATGTGCTCTGGGAAGTACGAAGGTTTAGTTCGGACTGAAAAGACATCGAAAGGCTGAGAGTAAGGTACTGAACGCTGCGCCCCACTAAGGGCGTTTTCTTAAAAAGTAAGTTGCGAAACGTTAGCCTACCAGTTCACGCAATGGCTAGCCTCAGCGTGCTACGATGGAGCACGTGTAGCACCATGGTGATGTGGTACTTCACAGTACTGAGGCATGACGTAGCTCCGCGAAAAGGTAATTGTGAACGATTAGCAATGGTCAAGAGACTGGGTGTTGCTGTGGAAGAGCCGCTGGTGTAAGCTCAGTGTTACCACTAACGAGCGAGGTCTAGCTTTGATGCTAGTAGCGTGTATAACTCTCTTGTTCGACGAGGCCTGTCCGACACTGTATAACGTAGAAAGCACGCGTAATCATGTCATTAGTATGTAAAACCCACGTACTAATCATAATACCGTTTTCCTTCGGCTGAGGCCCTACCTGCGCGATTCCACCAAGTTCTTCGAATACGCATCCAGCTCGAGAACGTTCTTCCATGCCATATCGAAGCACACCACATCACACCACCACACCACCAAACCACGCCTAGACCCTGCCAACCCTAGCCTCTTCTCTCAGCCCCCCTCAAAACGGCCAACTAAAGCAAACAGCCCCGCATCCGAACCACACCCATACATCTCCCTTCCTTAATGAGGGGTAGAGGCCAAGTAATCTTGCGCAAGCCTGCTACTGCGCTGTCGATCCCATACTGCATGTATACGGACCGATAATGCAGACTCTAGCCCTAGAGTGAGATCGAACCGCTCATGTTCGCTGCTTGAATTTCTGTTGAGGAGTATGAGCGGCTTCGAACCAGAATACGGCAGGTTGCTGGGCGTCAGGATGGGTTTTGGAGGGTGTGTCGCGTGTGGTGCTGCTTATTGAGGGGAAGCGTGGTGTGACGTCAGCGGTGCCCATCGAAAGAAACGAGCATGCTTGATGGATGGCATGCACGTTATCGCTGTCCATCCATCAGCTGAAGTGGTTAAGATAACAGAAACAAGGGGCGACCCCGCTGGGAAATGCAGTTTGATATCATCCTAACTGTCGAGCATAACGATCACGCGTCAGCGTTCCGTGTGGAGAGAACTCACAAAAAAGCACGCTGCACGAGGAGATGCAGGGACCGCGCACCAGTCCGCCGCGAACACTTCCAATTGGATAGGACATCCTGTATCGGCGAATTCTCCGGTACGCTTGCAAAGGGTTATTTTGGGGTGACCTAAAACAAATTACACAAGAAGCATCGCGGGAACCGCAATAATTATGGCGTAAAAGCACGGGACAGCATGACAGCATGGAGAATAGTGATGATGACAAATATAGTGATCGTGAATTCGTAAACTAACTATACAGAGTGTGATTCGGGAACCTAGCAGTTCCATCGAACTGATGCTATGCACCGAAGGGGGTATCTGTGTCTGATTTGAGCACTTCATTTCAGAACCATTGCGCCATTGCCAGCCAGAAAGCAAACGCCCATCGCAAGTACAAGATTTGAGAACGATCGTAATCATCGTAAGCCTCACGTCATCGCTTCATACAGACGTGCGTCAAGGCGGGAGTTTACGCCCAAGTCTTGGAAGTGTTGAGACCAAGCTCGAGATGCTGTGCGATGGCGTCTGCAAAGTCGCCGCCAGCGTTTGACGAGTGACGGCGACGTTCACGACGTATTTGGTGTTCGGCTTCCATGAGGCGGCCCTGGACCCAGGCACGCTGCTTCTCGTCGTTGCGGATACATTCTGTATTCATAAGTTCGGTGAGGGTAGCGACGATTTGTTGGTTGATCTCCGCGAGCTTGTGGGATTCTTCAGTGTGCATGTCGTCGATGCTGTTGCGCGGGGTTCCGCCAGTCCTTGAGCTGACGGTAACAGGTTCACTGGCTGCGGGGAACGGCGTGGAGTACTTTGTTGGTGAGGTAGGCGATGACGAAAGAGATTGAAACTCCGGGGAAGTGGCAGCCATAGGTGCGTTGAAAGGAATTTCCATAGCCATGCGGCGCTGGAGAGCTTCTTTCTGGGCTGAGAGAAGCATGTACTTTTGCATCGACTCGTTCTACATGAGCATGTTAGTATATGTTAGGGGGGATGTACTTCGGAGAAACTCACTCTACATAATGTGGGTCTCGACATGGGTGCCATGGTGTGGTCTGGTGTGGTGTTGTTTGGTGCTCGTGTCGTTGGACGGGGAGGGATATTTGATTCCTGTTGATGTGGGGTTGTCGGGGTCTTGATAGAAATACCAGTTGACAATGCCAAGTGCGTAAGGTGCTAAGAGATCGGCGGAGCCCCAGAAGTGTGGGTACGTGAAAGTTCTTGGTGGTGGAACCAAGTGGAGAATTGCTGATTGATAAGGTGATGGTATCGTGAGAAACCGATGATGGCTGAGATGCGGTTACGACGGATGACGGTGACAGAATATTCCAGAGTGTTGCGGTCGAGTATGGTATGCCCACTCTGTCTGGGGAATGTCTGGCAACTTAACCAGTTTGCGATGGGGCCACGCATTCACATCCCGGAATAGGCCATGACGTGCGAGTAGCATACCTGCTCCGAAACACAGCGTGGCTGAATCCGTCTTTCCGCGGTCAGTGTGTCCAGACACCTTTGGGTAACGGGGCCGTTTCGCAAAGCCCTGTCGGGATAGCCAGGGGTTGTGCAGACATCCTGTTATGATTGGCGGAGCTGGCCCCCTTGCCGATCTTCATGTCGCTCTGAAAGGTAAACTAAGCGACATAACGTCACTGGTAACAACCTGAAATGAGGGCCATGGTGCAGGATCGCGATCCAGTAGCAAGATCGTACACAACTGGCCTTGAATAATGTGATAGCACAGGGTACCTGCGTTTTCGTGAATAATCAGGCCTGCAAACTCTGCCTTCCACTTGTGGGTAGCAATGGTCACTAGACCCAAGGCGGGATATTTTCTCATGCGAATTTTCAACCCTCCATCAGAATCCCATCATGATGCGAAAATACCATGCGTGACACAAAATGACGTTCTGCTGAAACAAAAATGACTCCTGAAAATAGGTGCGAAAACTTCCTGGAGCGGCGCAGAGGTCTCCTCCGACGTCACATCGGCATGGTGCTAACATTGGTCGACTATGCTGCAGCCCAGGGCGCAATCCCAATGCCCAACATTGTCACAGATGTGGCTCTCCTGGAGATATCCCAAAAGAAAACTAGGCGCTGCGTTTGATTGCTCGTAGTCTCTCGATCCGCATGGCTAGAGGCTAAAAGCCAGACTTAGCACAAGACAAAAAATCAGGTTTGACGCCACATTAGTGGCTCAGTCCCACGTGTATCCGGGTTTCGGCTTGGTGTGACGTCCCTGTGCAAGCCTCAAATCAAAGGCATGGGCATAACAGGGCTGTTCGAAATATGATCGTCGCATATAGCGTATCAGGTTCACGGAAAGCACCACGACAAGGCTTCTAGAACAGACCCTTGATCCTTCGCGCCACAGAAGAGCGTTGCGCTCAAGTGCCACGTCGGCATGCGTACTCTAAGGCTTACGGTGCTCGTGTCCAGTATAGCCTAATCATTGAAAGCGGAAACAAGACCATGGCTTATCGTCGTCCGGACGTGCCGCGACTGTACATTCTGCCATTCAGGTATTTGCGGGTCCTCAAGTAAGCGTCATGGTCCGACTATGGATTTCACATGATACGTATACGGCGCAATTGTTCGGGATGGTTCGGTCTCAGATGATCAAAGGCCTAAACGCGCTGATCATGTAACGTCGTTGATCGAACTCCCGTTGTACGACAAGAAACTTTCCGAAAAGCAAACGTGTACCAGTGTCCGTCTGAGGCAGATCAAAGTGATGAGACTCATGGCGATATTTGGAGAAAGCAGCTGCACAGGCATGTCATTCTTCAGTCGATTGTCGATCTGACCAGAATCCTTTGCCATAGCTGACGAGGATCTCCTGTCCACGCCCGATGCCCTTCGCTCTCTTTCCACTTTTGCCAGCGCTCAGCACGAAGACACCGACTCTCCTCTCCACCTTCCCGTTCCCGATGTCCACAAATATATCGCGGAATTCGGCGCTCGGTGCGGGGCAGACACCCCGGTAGTCGTTGATGAATCGCGCTTCGTTACCCATCTTCGACGCATCTACGCCGATGCTCAGTTCGCGGTCGAGTGATAGGTCGTAGTCGGATGCTTCGTCAGTGTCAGTCTGGTCGTGCACATAGCCCAAGTATGGCAGGATGAACGAGTCTGGTGGTAGATGCTGGTTAGCATATAGCGCATGCTGTCCATGCGCAGGGTGCGTAGAGTCTGTCACTGATGTGATCTTGACATTTGAGTATGGTCCTTTGGGCTTATAAACCTGTGTATCGGGCGCTAGATTGGACTTTGGCAGTATCAGTGCGCTGAGCTTGTCACCACCAAGCTTCTTCGAGTAGGAAGGTGCGTGGAGATAGATGGTTTGCCCATCCCATCCCTTTGGCACTGCACCTGATGGTTTCGGCATTCTACTGTCGAAAATGCTAGAATATGCACCGCTTGCTCCTACAGTCCACGCAGTCGATGCAACCAGAGTGGGATTAAGGATCTGAGCTTAGCAAGTAAGCAAATCTTTGGCACCCCGCAAGAGAGGAACACAGGTCCGGAAAATATTGCGGTACAGATATCGAATTGCGCGGCGATGTCCTCAAATCGTGGAGTCCTGGAGTTGGTGGTGAAGTCAGAGTCAATCTTGCGTTATCGAGGGGCTCTCGCGTAGCCGGCGTCACTCCGGCACGACGGGCTAGAAGCGACAAGAACACCCATTTCCCTCACCGTAGCTTCCTCACTAATTTTACACTACGCCTCACCGTTTACCGACTCAAACATCCTCTAGCGATCACCCGGAAATAACAGCCATTTGTGGAATATGATAATGCGAACAAGTTGGGACTCCTTGGTGTTGTGCGGCACGTCATTTGCTCTCGAGTAAAACACTCATGCCCAAGTAGGTGCCGCGCCTAATGCGTAACCTGAGACTACTATTGTGGCGCTCACTTAAGTTCATGCGCCTCTCCTTGGGAATACTGGAGGCGAGATTGCGCTGTTACCATTTCGTCAACGAGTGTGTACCTACGCGGTGGATGGCTCTCGTAAGACGAATCCGGGTGTGACAAGAGCTGAGAAAGAGCTGGAAACTGATCAGCCTCCAAAACATCACAGAAACTTCGGCAGTAACTTTCCGCGACATCTTCGATGGCTGCCAATCCGCGCAACACTGGACGGGCTGTCGGCCCTTCGCTAGATCTAGTCCCAGGTCTAGATGCAAGGACAATGCAGGAACCCGCACGTCCCCGCTCCATCGTTGACCAACGATCTCGACACCAGCAGACCGCTCCAATTTGGCCCTTCTCCTATCAGCACTGGAAGCTATTTTTGCTCGGGCGCGGGGATTGCTCCAGATGTTGTCACGATTAGCCATCTCCACTGTGATCGATATTTCGATGCTGACTAGCAAGGAGCCCCTAATCATCGCTTTGTTCAGGTGTTCATTGTGACGGTCACAGTCAGTGGCTCTACACCTATCCCAATGCAAATTACACTCTGACGTGGTCGCGCGACCTTTCCTATGTTCCGAGCTGATATGCAGGTGCGGATCACAGACCGGAGATAGGTATCTACCGGGCGATTGAACATGTTCTGCGTGCACAAGTCCAACACTTGAAGCGAAAGCGGTTAGGACGACGGGCGATGTGTTGAGGCGGCAAGGCCCCCTTGGCAGGGGAAATTGTCAAGCTCATTTCGTTTCTGCGCGTCGTCTACCATTTCATTGGTCCATTCGACATCCATCAATAAACAGCTCACAACGGCCCATGTCGAAGCTTTCCACAGGTTCCCCTATCCCGTACTATCGCCAGGCACAGTCCACCAAACGGCGCCACCGGCACGCCAGAGCTTTCGCGATTCTGCCAAACGAGCGAAACTATGCCAAAGCGCCCCTGTTCATAGACGCTGGCTTTCTTGGTAAGGCCAGCTCGTGTATAGTTCTATATAATGTCTTCGCCAGCTGCTCCTCAGTTGATTCTCTACCACACACTCATTACACTCACTAATACACGGTTATCACCGATCACACTCGTTTTCAACGACCTCCAACGCCTTATAACTTAATACCTTCCGTATTTTAATACCACCCCCCAAACCAACAATCAAGATGCGTTCCTTCGCCGTCATTGCTGGCTTCGCCGCCGTTGCCCTTGCTGCTCCCCAGTACGAGGCTTACCCTGCTGCCCCTGCCTCTTCCTCGGCTGCCGCTGAGTACCCGGCCTACCCCGCCGAGACTTCTTCGGCCCCTGCCTACGAGGCTGCCTCCTCTGCTGCTGAGTACCCAGCCTACCCCGCTGAGACCTCCGCTGGATACGAGGCCTCCAAGCCTGCCTACGAGGCCAGCTCTGCTGCCCCCGTCTACAGCGCCTCCAAGCCCGCTTACACCACCACCGAGGTTGTCCACGCCACCAGCTACGTCTGCCCTGAGCCCACCACCATCACCTACGGTGCCTCCACCTACACCATCTCCAGCAGCACCACCCTCAGCATCCCTGAGTACACTGCTACCTACGTCCACACCCCTACCCCCGAGATCCCGGCTGTCCCCATGCCCACTGTCTCCTCTGAGAAGCCTTCCGTTCCTGAGGCTTCCCACACTGCCCCTGGATACTCGGCTGCTCCCCCCGCTCCCATGTACCCCAGCTCCAACGGCACCGTTCCCCACGTCCCTGCCGGAACTGGCGCTCCCTACCCCACTGGCACTGGTGCCATGCCCACCTCCACCAAGCCTGCCACCCCTGAATTCACTGGTGCCGCTGGCAAGGCCACCGTTGGCTTCTTCGCCATCGCTGGTGCCGTCGCTGCTTTCTTGTAAGCGGTTTGCTCTTGAGTGATTTGTCGAGATATGGTTCTCCATGTCTCTGCTAGTCTGTTCTCGAGTTTTGGAAAGAGGAGGAAATAAAACATGGCTTCACGGGTTACGACTTCAACTCTGCATCACGATTCAGTCTAGGATTGGGAGCGCGGTGTTGGCGGTACGGACTCTTGCTTCCTTGCGCAATAACAGTCGCAGCAGCATTTCGATGGTTAATATACTCGGTATTGTAATACGCCTTGGTTGGAATGCTTACTGGCCCTATGGAGGGAGTCGTGTGGTCCCGGTGGTCTTCTTGTTCCTAGATTCTTTGCCCTTTCTTGAGAAGAGTCGGCTACTTAATGACATGATTTCCACCTCTACTTCACGATCTGACTATTCAATGTCTGATACCCTTGTTTGTACATATTTTGGCATGAATGGAGTTAAATCAACACTTTCTACACTCGACTTCTCTACTTTCCACCGTGCAGCTCTGGCTATCACTCCATGCAGAAACCATCCATGCCATGTCGTTAAGCCCATGTTTCTTGCTTTTCCATTACCCTGATGATGATCGTTCGTGAACAGGCGTTGGGTGCCCCTGAGACCCTGACCCAGGAAATTGCACTGGCCGCCTTACCCTGCAGCCACGGCATCTGGCCCAACCCATTCGTCCGCTTCTGGCGACACTTTCATCCGGCGAACGCCAAAACGCGTCACCCTTCTCCCAGCCATAATAAACAATCGGCAGCTCGGCCCTGGCGTCTTTTGTTTTACGTACATTCCCTCATTTATAGATGCTGGGTGGGTGCACCAATATTGCTTCTGTCTTGGGAAGAGAGGTCTGACGTACAGCTCACGTGATTCACGCTAATACGTTTTCGTACGCGACGCGACTCAAGCTACGTGACAGGAACGATCGCGATTATCTAGGATAACCCTCCTTCACGACAAGGGCGTGCTGGAGTCTGCAAAACTGCCAGCTTACTTAGGCAGGTCAATATTGCACAAGCGCATTTGCGCGCGCCTCCCCTTGTCAGCCTAGGTCCTACCAATGAAGTCGGACTCTTGTCCTCTAATCATCATGGCCTCACCTGAGCAATCTGTTCGATATTCTCTTTCTCGAGCAGACCGTACTTAGGTACTCTTAGCGCGCGCATACCGCAAATGCCGACCTCCAGATGCTCATCCAGATCGTCAACTTCTTTACCAATGTCTGCCACGATTGAGATGTTTAGTGTCTAATCGAACTTTACCTCCGCTTGTAACAGAATCTTGATTGAAGATGTCCTAGACGGCGAGATCATAGCTAGGGTATCGTGAACGACGAGATCCTTGATGATGAGCAAGAACTTCACGAAGCTTAGCTTAACGCCCCGGATTCGAAGACAGACGAGGAACCTAGGCAGCTTCTAGAAGGTCAGGGCCTGCACGGCGATAGTGAGGGAATCGCTTTGTTGGAGCGTCTGGTAGGAAATGACGACTCCGTTGAAGACTAGCCTGCCGACTCGCCACTTGGTCTAGACCCAGGAAACTTCACAGTCTCCGACCAGTAAGGAACTTGATGAATTTGGAAACGGCGCTTGCGGATGCTTCGAGGCCTCAATATTGTACATACCGTGTGTGTGTGACAACGTTGTTCAGGCAACGTCTTTTCTTTGCAAATCATTCAGGCATATCCGGTGGTAGTCTTTGTCTCATGTCATGGGCTGTTGAGACATTTGATATTGATTTACATGTTTTAGAAAAATCTCCCGTCAGCCTCTGGATGCATGCAGGCTATTACTTCTCTACCAGGTAAAGCCTTTGCGAGAAAAAGCACTTCCCCGTATCAGGTATTGTTGAATGTTTTCGTAAATATCTACCATTTCCTCTCCTCGATAGGCACTTCTCCCGTTTCCTGCCAGTAACTTATCGCATCATCGTAGGCTTTACGGTAAGTCTTCCGTCGCTCCTCCATTGACGGACGGTTCGGGTGGCTCTCATCGAACTCCTTCTCTAACCTGCGGAACTCTGCATTTGGTGGGAAGATGTGGTCTCCTTCCGCTGGCTGAATATAAAATACTCGCAGGTCTTTATCAACACGATTATCCTCACTGAAGCGTATCATGGCGTCCAGATCTCGGCACTGACGGTTATAAGTGAGCTCAGGATCCGCCGTAGGCTGCCCTGCGACCCAAATGTAATTCATGACATCGTACTCGACGTGGCACGTCAGATGATCTAGCAAAGCGTGGAGACAGTGCTTCGTGTGGATCCAATCCATCGTGCCGTTTGGATAACCATAATGCTCACGATAGACCCGTTTTCGGATGTGGTCTAGGCAGTGGATGTTATGCGTATGTGCGAATCGGGTGATGAACGTGTTTTCGCCATAGCCGAAGTCTTTGGGGACGCTGATATAGCGATCTGGATCTTTCTCAAGGATGCGCATGTCGTCCTCTGTTATCAGGAATGGATATCCCGTGGTCAGCGCATGCCATGCTGCATCGACTTCTGGGCTAGGCGATTGCTGCCAGATGACGCCATTACTGTCTGCAAAGAGGGGAATGTAGGTGTGATTGAAGTGAGTGCTTCGGTCAATGTTCTTCAGGAAAGATGGCTCTAATGGCATGCTGTGTTAGCTATGATTCTAACGACAGGAACATGACGTACCAGATAGAGCTTGTTCTATTTGTGAATATTGGAATATTAGGCCAAAAACGAAGAACACGGCAGCCACCACAGCGTACTTTAAGAAGGAGCAAAGCAGCTGGAGAGTTAGGACAGGTTTGTTGCGAACTCCACCGTTTGGAACCCCTGATGGCAACAGATCCTCTGACTCCTCAGCGTCTTCGTTTTGAGGTAGCTTACGCCACGAGTGATCCATGGTGTTTAGCACACAATGGCTCAGTAGGAGAAACTTGTTACGTCCGATACCTTTTGCATAGGTACAAAGTCATCGAAAGCCCGTCAAACTTGCTGCACGCTGTTGGGATCAACTACGACGATGAGTTCCATACCAAGACGCTTACGAACTATCTCATCGCAGGACGGAATCTTCGGAACATCGTCACTGAGGGGTAGACGTATGTGTCATTACAAAGCTGCGTGCGTTTAGGGCAGAATAAGCTATTCCACGAGGTGCGTACGGCCTTGTTCCGGTACATCTGCGGGCCGGCCCTGTCGGGCGCTATCACTGTAGACCTTTGATATCGGAAGCTTAATGGAAAGACTGCGCGCTTTTCGGTCAAGTTCTGCTGCTCGATCAAGATAATGTCAGCTGAAGTCAGCCAAAAGACGTTCCACCGAAGATAAGAGTCTCCACCTTGCAGCCAAACAATGATACTATGCACTCTTCGATTACACACGCGTACATTTCTGCTTTACAAACCATACCATTCCTCGCTGCTCAATTCAATGAGTTAGGAAAAGAGGTGTGAGGCCGTATCAATCGAACGAAGAGCCAAGGTAGGTACTCCACGACAAATCTACCCTAGACCCCACCTTACACCATACATTACATCTCACGCATATGCGAAACCGATGTTTCGCCGCGTCTTCGCTTTTCTCGAATCATCGAGCATGGGTGTAGAAGCCAGACCCGCAGAGGAGCGAGTCGGGCTTACTTCACTTTCCACAAAATACAACAACGACGATCTCAAGCCGCGAAGGAATCTCATCTTACGAGTAGCTATTGCCGTTCTTGTTACCATTATGGCTGTTTATGGAGCTTACGCGGCCGAATCCCAAACTCTCGCAACACTAATACGAGATGATGCCTCATGCGTGTGCGGCGTTACAACTGCCGAAGGAATGTTGCAGAACTGTAAGTTCGATGAGATCGAGCTGTGCTGGTTGAGGCCGGAATGTATCGATTCCGAGCTCACTCATGAGTTCACCACAGCTTCTCGTTCCGACCCGGGGGGTGTTTGGCTATACCAAACGGAGCTGGATGGCAAACAGCGCCTGATCAACGGAACCGAGCCATCGATGCTTATTGAGCCCGGGAGAGCTTGTTTAACATATCTAGATCGCTTTGTCTGTCTGGCAGGAAGAACCTCAGGGATGCTTTGTCTGTAGCTATGTTGAGAAATGATGATGAGAAGTCAGCTGAGTTTAACAGCCTGTCAACTCTCTCTGTGTGCATCACACACATTGGCGAGCTAAGCTCTCGGGGGCGGATGCAATCGTAATATAAGCGACAGCTTAGCTCGTTATCAACTCGTTCATCAGCCTCGCTGAGGCTAATGGGTGTACTTTCCTGTGGGCGTGCTTGGAACGAGTCTAATCGAATGAGGGCAAAGGGATATGTCGGTTCCATTCCATCTTTGAAAGCTACCTCTTTGCCTAACTCGCGAAGGCGGTTAGCTAGAAGTCGCAGCGATGTGTATCTCTCCTTTCCTGTGGAGTCGAACTTTAACAGCCCTAGTTTCGAATCAGGGTAGTC